GTTAATTGTTCAGCAATAATTGTACTTAACATTTCAAGTAGATTCCATGGTTTTATATAATCAAAACCTTTTTCATTGTATAAAAAATTATTTTTTAAATAATTATTATTATCATTATTAACTTGATTAGTATCTTCATTATCTTTTAATTCTTCTAATAATGTTTGACCTTGTTGTTGTAAATCTTTATCTGGTATATGTTTTATAAAATGACTTAATGTTGAATAACGTGGTGGTTCACAAAAAGCTTCTTTATACGAATTTAAAAAACATGTTATTGCTATATGAAGACTCCTAAAAAAGAATAACAAAATATTATTTATTGAATTATGATAAATAAAAATAACTATTTTTATTATTCTTCAAATAAAACATGAAGCAAAAATAAGCATAATAAGATAAATAAATGAATATAGATAGATGGATAAATAGATAAATATACTCATACTCTGTTTGAATCTCACTGATAATAAGAAGAAATAGAATGATCGAATAAAAGAATACGTTCACTTGTTTTTTTTATACTTTGACACTATTTCTTACTTGAGAGTGTTTTGTCGAACATCTTCAGTCATATCGAGTGAAGCTGGAAGAACAGTTCGGTAACGTGTAATTATTGTATCAATTAATGTTCGAGTATTTGTAAATGTTCGATATGTAGAAAATAATATATGCATATGTGTTGCATCTAATTCACCAGTATCATTTGTTAAATATTCAACAATTTTTTCAAGTGTACCAGCTTTTAATTGATATACTTTTATGGTAGAATAAAGTAATGTGCCACGATCATTATTACAAGCATCACCGGTTGTTTCCTGCTATAGAATAATAAAAAAAACAAAAAGATTATGATTCGTTTTCTTTTTTTTTTTTTTAAATATAAAACCTGTTCATTTGTATCATCAACAAGTGTATTTATGGTTGAAGATGAATCAACAAGTGATGAATGTTTATGTGGAACTCGTTTTAAATAAATTTTAAATATAGCATCGTCTTGTTGTTCTTCACCGATTAATTGAGGTTGTTGGTTATTCTATGATGAAATAGAAATTGATTAAGAGCAAGATTTAAATAAAAAATATGAAAAAAGATTTTAATCAGAACAAATACAAGAACTAGACTTGTTCATCTATCTCATTAATACGAATCCATTTTATTAAATTATGTTAGTATGATATCATGATATGCAATGACTCGTAAATATTTAATACAAATTTATTTATAAAAATTCTACTCTATGGAGAAGTTCAATTAAATTTTTTTTCTTTTCCTACTGGTTGATGACTTTTAGTTGGCCATAATCGGTTAATGAGCTTTGAACTCGACGGATGTAAAATATCAAATAGTGGTGTTAAGTCAAATGGATATAATTCAATATCAGATTCTGATGAATCGATATACATGAATCAAACTAGGATGATAATAAAATAGATTAAATAATATAGGGTATACATAATAGATATAAATATATACATTTTAACTAATTTATTGATAAAGAGCAGTAATAATCATTTTGTAGTCATTATCTTTCATTTCTTTTTTTTTCTAGTTTCTATTTGAAAGGATAACAAAAAAAAAGTACAAATTCTCTTTCTTATCAGTAGAAACCAACCAATGTTGTTCTTTTCATTATCGCAGAATACAACCTTCATATAAGACTCAAGTGAACATGTTAACCCAGACATATGTGAGTTGAGAGACAGAAAAAGGATTATAGAATGAGTTTTGATACTCAAATAGACTGTATGTTGATCATAAAATAAAACAGAATTCTATAGGCATAAGTCTTTTTTTTTTTTGCTTCTGATTAATTCTAATGTAAGTGCATACAATTATTTGGAAAAAAATAATAAAGCAAACATGCATAGCATAGAGCATGAATGGCATTAAATATTTATTTTATTTTCCAATAAAATAAAAAAAAAAAAGAAACAGGATTAATATCCGTTAATAGAGCTTATCTTACTTGTTCCTCGGAACTCTTCATTGTATCATTATGAGAAAACTGTTTTCTTCGACGAAGAAACGGTGATGATATAGGCGTCAATAAAAAATGCTGCATCAACACACGTTTATTTTCTTTTTAATCTCTCTAAAACCAATAATGATTGAAAACTTAAACGACAGTGACACTTTAAAAAAAAAAAGAACAAGAATATAAACAAAAAAAACTACAAGTATGTTTGAGGAATTTAAGTATGTTAGCCATTTATGTACACACGAGTACAACACATATTTTTCTATAGCCTTATTCAATCAAGGTCATTTTAGATTATACACGTAAAAATAAATGAACGTTTACTTTGACTTACGAGATGAGTTATTTCTAATTGTGTATAGATATTTTGCTGACTAAAACTTCTTAATGTTGTTTTATTGATAAGTGAACCAGTTTTTGCTGCTATGGCTATTCGACGAATAGGTCGACGACAAAGGGACATTCGATAATAAATATAAATTATTATTATATGAGACACCAGAAAAAATCAAAAAAAAGATATTTTTTTTGTTTTTTTTCGTGTTATCTCAAAATTGTATCACGAAAAAAATAAATGATATTATACTGCAAATCAACATGAATAATAATTGGATAATTTTGATTAAAAAAACCTAATATATATATATATATATGCCCTAGGAAAAAAAAAACATCGAATATTGACAGGTATTCAATTTCGTCAATAATAACCGTATCGATGAGTCATTCAGACATAACGAACTACCATTTCCTATCGATAAAATCGACTAATTTATCAATATTAAAATTGATAAGAAATATATTTTTTTTCTACGATTAAATTATCAAATAGAATTGATACTAAGAAACAAAAAATTTATTTAATTATTAGCTGTATATTAACGACATCTGACAATTATTATATCGAATATTTATTTATTTATTTTTTATTTTATTAAAAAGCAAATTACTCTGATAAGTATATATTAATTTTAGAAGGTCAAAATATACAATAAACTAATAATTACTAGTCGATAGTAGGTGGAATAATATTGACTTAAAACGTTAGTAATTCTAATAATACAATAAAGTTGTAGTTTTTAAAATGTAATGTATCAATAAATAAGTTTAAAAGATAGTTCATTGCAGATGATTTCATATTGTGTTCGACAAAGATTTGATGGTTTGCATCATATTGTTTTGTAAAGCATAAATAATCCAACTTATAGTCTTATTCATATTTTCGTCAAAGCAGCATTCCTAATGAGTATTCGAAAGGGTACTCTACTATCAGTATGTAACACAAACTTTTGAGTTTTTTTAACTAGTAGATTGCAGAATAATTCTATGTATTCAGTCGATTGACTTTTTGAAAACTTCAAGAAAATGCTATATAAAAACTAGACAAGTATCTGGTCAGTTTCCATATACTGAAACTATTTGCAGCAGACTATTTTTTTGAATATCCTACTGAAAACTGTTCTTGTGTACGAGCACTTTAAACTCAGTACCTTTACTACGCTATATTTCTTGTTTATTTAAGTTATATTCATGTATCTATGATTCAATATATTTTTTCTAAGCAAAAAGTATGCACCACTTGACACTATATCTTCTTTCGGTACCACTCAAATATATTCAAGTGAAATTTCAATTGATCTTACTGCCAGTCAAAAATCTACTTTTGTCAAGATATCAAATCGATAAAAAGAATCACTTTAAAGTCTTTTTCAATGATTATTCATTCTTGTTCTCTTAAATTTTAATAAAAAAACAAATTAATATTTATTTTCAATCAAAGATATGATGTCATATTGTTTGGAAATTGATATAAGAAAAATAAAAAAAGCATTTATTATGTTGAGAGTTGTCAACATTTTTGATAATGATGTTTTCCAAATGAATTAGTCTATCTTAAGTTTAGACAGTTTCTAACTTTCGAAGATGGTACAATCGATCATACTGGAATTTTCATCATAGACACGAGTACTAAAAATAAAGAGACACATGTTCGAACAAAAAAACATATTTGCTATTTCTCTTGAAGAACTCTAGTTTTTCATACGACCGCATTTTAATATATTACAATCCTTAACACACTTATCTGATTAACGTGAATTTTTTGTCAGAAATACGTATATGTTCGGTGGAAAAACAGAAGACGTGGCTTCGAGAGTCCTATAAATTTGAGTGGGAAAGTTGAAAACAAAAACAGTCAATTTTATCTCTGGAAAACACTTCCAAGTATCAATGATAGAAATTCCAGTTTGACTGATTATATCATCTTCGAGAACCAGAAACAATCGAAAAGAAGAAAAGTTATTCTTGATTATAATATTAATGAAAAAAGTATTGTAAAATAACTAAAAATTTTTACTATATATTTGATACAAAAGACTAAATCTATATTCAAAAACCATAATAACTCTTAAATAAATTAAAAACAAGTCTTGAAGAAAATTTTTTTCAAAAAGCAGTTCAATTATATCAATACAGTTTTAGTAGAAAAATTTTTTCTTCACATTGAAATCAAAGCCTTTGATAAAATAAATACTACTAAATCTTTAAATATGAAAATGATAAAATATTCATCATCGTTCGTTTGTTAGAATATATTACAATAATATCAATTATACAACAACACCAACAAAAAACAGAAGAAAAAAAAACAATTAGCACATTTAATGTCAATTTATTAAAAAGTATCGAATAGATAGATGTTTAACAATATCTTTTATATGAAAACATATCGTCAAATGTCAAAGTTCATATTAAAAAGAATGTCTATTCAAATACAATAGAACAAATAAATAAAACGTATATAATTATCTTTTGATTTATCATTTATGAAAGATAAAAACAAAAAGAATTCTGTTTTTTTTTTAGTTGATTTAAAATAAAAGTAGATATGCATTTAAATGTTCATATCTGAATAGATTAGTATATATGAATATAGATAAAAAAAATAGCACAAAAAAAAAAGAAAAAAAACAAAACAAGAAAAACAAAAAAAGGAAATATAATTATTCAAGCTTCTCGATTATTTACGTTGATTGACACGAGATTGCATATTGACAGTATTTTTATTGGATGTTGACACTGATGAAGCTGTTGAATCAACTGATGTCATTTTAAATAAACGTGGAGATGAACCACGATTAGTAGCTTCTTCACGAGAACGTAATGCTTGCAAACGATACCAATGTGGTTTATCATCAATAACATTAGCATCTAATAATTGAGCACAAAAGAAAAACAATCATAAAAGAGAATATTTATTTATTGTTCCCCCCCCAAAAAAAAGCAAAAATAAATACCTTTCAAATCAATTGTTATTTGTCCAATAAAATCATTTGCTTTAAATCGATCATAATCCCAAACAGTAAATTCAAGCATTTTATATTGTAATTCTTCTCGATGCATATTTCCATAGATAACAGTATGATCCCATATAGGATTTAAATTTTTTGAGATATGTTTTGTTCGACGTTTATTTTCTTGACTAAAAAAAAAAAGAAACAATAAAGAAAATATAATAAAGTCCAAAAAATGTGTTCATAAACTAAAAACATATCTCTACTTTCGTCAAACATACAAGATAGTCATAAGAAACTATTTAAACGAAGGAAAGTTCTCTCGCAAAAAATTATTAAATTGAATTTTCAACTGGTCAATTGTGTTCCAATTCGAACTCTGTTTATAAGACAGATTTCAGAGGATGATAAAAAAAAAAACTCAAAAGGATAAATTCTCTTAGGACTTTTGCCCAGGGTTATGATTATTTTATTGAGAATTTTGGTCTCCGACATGGCATATGTCAATAAATCAAATGATGGTATGTCAATCTGACATTTTTTCTACAAACAGATCTATTTGTTAGAAGAATGATTTCAAAATTCCAGCTCAACAAAAAAGAAAAAATATTTCTTTTTCCACATATGAAGTGTCAACAAAAAGAATCATGAAATATTAATGGTTTTTGAAACTTTAATATCTCGGCAAAAAACATGTTCGTTTGAACTGAAGTTTTTAGAGTATTCTACTAACAAATAGACCTACTTTTGGATAAAATCTCTAACCGACATACTACCATTCAGTGTATTGATACACATCATGTCAGAAATTCAAATTCCAATAAAATGTTTATGACTTTTAGCATAAGATCTAAGAAGACTTATCATTTTGAAATTTTCTTATATGTCATCAGAGTCTATCTGATGTACCGAATCTCAATTCAATAACAATCGATCATTTGAAAATATTCCCTAGTGAGAAAAGTAATGTTCGAAAGACATTTTTTTTAAAGTCTATCTTTAGATAATCATGACTGTTGAGAAAAATATTTTTCGGAAAGAAAAAAAGCTCCTTCGTTAATTAAGACACGACTATCAGTTGTTTTCTTCATTATAGTATAGATTTAACATGCAGATTAACGAATAATACTGTGCAATTAATTATTCGAATGTATCGTGCACATCTATTATTCATAGAAATGACAAGCTTTATTGCATTGTCTTATTTTAAATTTAATCTATTATAACTAAACTCAAAGAAAGCTATAATTCAGTATAATATCTTTTTATCTATCAAAATACTAGAATTAGTGTCATTGAAAAAAAGACAACGAGACTCCAACGGTATAACTATTGAAGTCTAATGATTTGATATAAAAAGAAAGTTACATTTTATTAGCGAATTTCAAATAAGAAAGGCAAATCATGATCATAAAACATGTTTTTGAAGATCATTATTAAATTTTAAAATTGTTTATTAATTATAATATATTTAAATATGAACTTACTCTCTTCCTGGTAATAAATAAACTTTAACAAATGGATCTGAATAACCATTTGTATCTTTTGCAAGTAGATTTTTTGCTCGAATTATTCTTATAACTAATTGTTCACGTTCACTATTATGTCCAATTTGTAATTCAATATCACCAACATAATCATTTTCACGTATTTCATTTGGCTAATTAAATAAAATAAATAAATCAATCGTTAATGTTTATAATTTACTCCGATTTCTTTTTTTTCTTTTTTGTCTTTTAAACATACTTGATTTGAAAAATCGACAGATTTTGTTTTTTTCTTTAAAAATTTAAATGAACCTAAATTTGATAATTTTTTTTCATCGGTTTTATTAAGATTTATTAAATTACCACCAGTTGATTCTCTTGATAATCGATGTTCATCAGTTGATTTAATAAAACTTTGTAAACGATTTGATGCATCTATTGTTCTATCAGTATTATTATCATCGATTGGTGTAATATTTTTTGTTTGTTCATGAGATATATTTGTATTTAAAATATTTGATACATCATTTGTTGCCATTAAACTACTTTTTCGACTTGGTGATGAACGAAAATATTGTGAAAGATTATCACTTTCATCAGATTCATTTGAATTTCGTCGATCAATACATGAATTACTTCCAGCTCCATTTAAACCTGGATCATTCGGTAGTAAACTATTACGATGTTCATATATTCGACGACGTTGTATTGGTTGTGATGAATTTGTTGTATCATCATTTGAAATTTTCTACAAGCAAACAAATACATACACACACAAAAATAATAAAAAAAAAAAAACAGAATTTTTATGAATAGAAATTCTTTTTTTTTTTTTAATGATTTACCTGTTCTGGTGTTGTTACAGATAATGACGTGGATTTTTGTACATCACGTTTTATTGAATGTTGACGTTCTTGTTCTGGTAAATTATATGTTCCACTATGACTACGATTTATATCAGATTGTTGTGTAGCTACTTTTTTTAAATGTTCAGCTGATTTAATTGATGATGTACGATGAAGAGATTCAACAGAGAAAAGACGTTCTTTTGAAGATACACTTTTCTTTCGAGTAATTGTAGGTGCAAGTAATTGTTCAGATGTATCATTTGAATCATTTCTTGGTAATGGCATTATTGTTGATTGAGATTTAACAACTGTATTAGTTGATGAATGTGTTGGAGAACATTGTGATGTATCCATTGAATGTCTTCGTGAAATATTTGAATCAACAATTAATGATGTATTTGATGAAACTCCAAGGTTATTATTTGTTTGAATATTTGGAATTCTTTTTTCGGGTTTATGAATTTCAATTGAAAGTGAAACAGATGGTATAACATGTTGACTAAGAAAGAAAAAAAAGGAATATTATATTATTTTTTATTTTTATTATGTGTACCTTCGAACAATAATTTCAAATTCATCTTGTATTGAATTCATTAAATTTTGAACAAATAAGGCACTTTTACCACGTAATGATATTCCACCAACTTCAAGAACTTCATCACCTAGATTTAATTTTTAAATTAAAAAAAAAATTTTTTTTTTTTTTTTTTTTTTAATTATTTAAAAATGAATTTTACCTTCTTGTACAGCATTTTTTAATATATTATAATTTCTATGATGTTTATCAATATGTTCAATGCATGCTGCTACTTCCGGACAATTTAGTATTGAATGACCACCTGTTATACGAAAACCAAGATCGGCACCATCTAAAAAATAGATCGATAAATAGAAGAAAAAGAAAGGTCTCTGGTAAAGAAAAATAACATACCTCGTTGAGAAACATTTAGACTGTCACGATTCAATATTAATTTTGATACAGGAAAAGGATAAGACATTTCTGTACTTGTACTCTGTAAAGGAAATGAAAAGTATTTTTCATTTAAATTTTTAATTAATAACAAAAAAAGAAGAAAACCTTCTGTAATTTTGGACGACTAGTATTATTAGTTGGTGATGGTGAAGATAATAAAACTGTAGGAGGATTTGTTACTGTTGGTGATGTTACAGTTGGAGTCATTTGACCATTACTGTATGCTGGATTTATATGATGACTATTAGTATTATTCGGTGATAATGAACCTTTCTTTTTAACTTTCTTTTTTATTTTAATTGTTGAATTAAGATTTGATATAGGTGATGTATTTGTTGTTTGATCTCTTAATTGTTTAATTTGCATTTTAGGAAATGATAATTTATCAATAGATGGTGATTGATTTGTTGTTGTATTAAATGATTTTCGATAATAATTGATATCATAATTATTATTATTAATTATTTCAGATTCAGTTTTTGAACGTGCTGTTTTCTTCATTGAACCCATTGGATCGTTAATATCTATTTCAAGTAAATCACTTTCATCATCTACATTACTATTAGATATTTGAATAGGTAATGATACAGCTGGAAGACAAAATCGAGATTCCGAATTAGTTCGACGTAATTGTAAATTATCCAATATTAAAGGCACAGATGGTAGATTACGTTTTTGTCTATGTATTGGTATCATTCGCTAAATAGAAAAGAAAATCTAATTACTATTTTTCTTTTTTTTTTTTTTTTATATTTAGAAACAAATCTTCATCTTTACTAATCCTCATTAAAAGAAAAAAAAAAATGACTTGCATCATTAGTATGAGCGGAAGTGTTATTTTAATATGAAAAACAAAAAAAAGAAAGACATTTCATAGAGTTATTTTATTAATTCAATGAATATTTTAGCATATGTTTATCAAACATATAACATCAAAAAAAAAAGAAAAGAAGAACTTTATAAATCCTAGTCAATTTTATTATCTTATTCATGTTATAGGATTTTTTTTGTTTTGTTTTGTTTTTTTTTCGAATTAAAAATATAATTAAAAAGAAAATCATACTTTGCTATGTGTAGATCCTGTACGTTGTAATGGTCGATGATCTGAAGGATAAGATTCTATTGTTTGTTTTTTTGTTGTTGTAAGTAAATCAGTTAGATTTTCTCGTATACCAGATGAACGACTAAGACTTCCTCGACGATTATTAATTAATATAGGTATTGTAATAGGTATATTATGAGAATGTTGAGATGATATTGTTGTAGGATGATTAGATGAAGATGATTGAATATAATTTTCATCTGTTGATGGTGATTCAATTTCCATTTCAAGAATTGAATCAATATCAATATTATTAACAGATAATATTGATGGTTGTTGTAATTTTGTTACATTTGAATTTATTTCATTATTATTAATTTCTTGTGATGATACTGGAAAATGTCGAGATAAATTAGCTATAGTTTGTTCTAATTCTTTGACATGATCACGTTCATTATTATCATCATCTTCAACATATTCATCAATTTTATATGATGGTATTGATGATTCTTCAATATGATCTGATACTAGATTATTATCAATTTCTGTTACATAGGGACTTGGTCCTTGATAAAAAAAATCATTTTCATCTATTTCTGTTAAATTATTTGTTCGTGTTTTCTTTGATAGTGATGTTTCTAATGATGTCGTTGGTAGTTTTGATTCAACGATTGATGTTTGAGATTGTTGTTTTTCTTCTTGGTCTTGGTTTTTTTTATTTTGATTATCATTTATTTTTTTTGTGTTATGATGACTTATATGATATGCATACTCATGAGTAGGAGAATTTTGTTTTATTAGTTCCTGATCAATTCTCATGATATTATCATAGATTTTATCGTCTTCATGTTTATTGAATTCCATTGGTATAGGAGATGATGATTTTCTTATTGATGTGAGCTAATGATAGAGAAAAAACAAAAAAAAAAAAAAGATTTTTGTTTTTTTGGGGAGTACTTGAATAGCATTAAAAAACGACATATTGACTTACAGGCCCAGTATTATTTTGTGTTAATCGAGCAACTTCTTCATTTTCTTGACATTGAAGACAAATCGTTGTATTTCCTTGTTGTTGCTTTTTGTTACACACTTGACATCGGTAAATACTTGTTAATATTGATTCCGGTGAAGGTAATGGCAATTCTTCATCTTCACATCTATTAGTAATAGAAAAAAAAAATGGTAAAGAATGAAAGAGTATGTCGAGACTAAATCATTCATCATAAAATTAAAAAATATATATATATTCAATGATTTAATATTGATCGAATGAAAGCTTTTTTTTTTTTTACATGATTTTTTTTCTCATATGAAAAATAGCGTTTGATTGTTCAGTATGAAAAAATAAAAATGAGAATGATAAGAAAAAAATCTAGACAGTGCTATTTTTATATAATCTTTTATAATTGTCTGTTGTATAAATATGAAAGATTTCTTTTTTTTTTATTTTTTGTCATTAGCTTCTAGTTATTTGCGTGATCATTAAATACATATATATATATATATATAGATTTATAGATCTATAAAGCATCTGGAGAATAAAAATCTAAAGAAAAGAAAATGAAACAATTTCTATTTTATCGTTTTGTTCGACATGCATCATTTTCTAACAATATGATTAATACAAAAAAAAAATAGCATATATATAGATAAATAGTCAGATAATGTGTGAAATTATCAAAAATAAATTTGTTAAAAATTTCAATGCCGTGAGATCAAATGAAACATGCAAAAAAATAATCTACTTACATTTCATTAACATCATTATTATCATTCTTATCGTTCTGTTCATAGTTTTCCGGTTTTTCAGTATTAAAACTACTTGTCGTTGATGAGGGCGATGACGATATTGAAGGAGATAATGGTGCTGATACTATTGATACCGGTGGTGATTGTATTGAGGAAACAATAACCGGTGATACTGTTGATTGTTGTTCATCGACAGCTCGAGCTCGTCGTAATACATTTGCTATATGTTCTTGTTCTTCGCGATTTAAATGACTTAAATCAAGTTCAACAGGTGATGCTAATGGTGGTGGCACTGATGTAGGAATTGTTTTTGAACTACGTACACTATCCATTGATATCGGTCGTGAAAGACCCATCGTTGATGAGGAAGTTGTTGATAAACGTTCATTATACTGTTGTTGATCATTTGAAGGTGTTGTAGAATAATAGTAATGATGTGCTGGTCCTGATTTTAAGGATGACGATAATAACGAAGGAGAAGATGTTGACGGTTGTGGTGGTGCTGATGGTGGTGATGGAGGAGCAAGATCGACCGTCACATCTTGCACCCACTTTTTCAATGAACTTAACATTCAGTAAAGAGAGAAGGGGCGGATGGCGAGCGAACAACCGGAGACACAATGACGGGTAATGTGATGCCACGTTGCAATCATATTAATTACATATTCTCGTTTTATTCCATTGCACAGTAGTACTATCTGGTTGCTTTTTGTTCTGTTCTTTTCTCTCTCTCTCTCTCTCGCGTCTATTCTATGCTAATACTTACAAGTTCAACTAGCAAACTCGTGTGTGTGTGTGCATGTGTCTTTGAATAGTATCGTTCGTTTGCTTTAGTTGCTCGATGTGTTTCCCTCACTTTTTCCGTCTAGTATGCTTCTCAGCTCGGATCTCATCGTCGTGCTCTGTTTTCCGCTCGTGTTCTATGCGTCTTCCATCAAACCACATCACATTTCTCTCTATTCTAGTAGTAATATATTTTTCTCATTTTTTTTTTCTTTTCTTTATCGTCTCTTTTTTCATACATAACATTGAATGCTAACATTTTGCAAAAATATATTGATATGGGGATAAAAAAAAAGAGAAAAATGATGATGAATGCTCGTCAAAAAAAAAGACTCAAGAGAATTCTGTCATACTCGCCTTTCCTCATGTCTTTCTGTATGTGTGCATTTACTCTTTTTTTTTTTCGTTGCTCAATAAGAACTTCCTGTATGCGAGCAATCGCAATAAGAGAGAGAAAATGACGATGATGATGAACTACTTAACTTAATGCTTAAGTCATCAGTCTGTCAATAAACCGAGAAAAAATGTCATTAGAAGACGAATGAAAGTAAAATTGTAATCACCAGTGTTAATAACGAGATGCTTATAATGATTGTATTCAAAGGAAACAACATAATTGAAGAGGGTTTTTATTTTCATTCCGAAGAATTGATCGAATAAATTTATACAACATTTGATAGCAAAGTTCGATGAAACAGAAAACATTATCATTCAGTATTTAAATAAAGTGTCAAGTATCTATCTATCTATATATATATAATCTGTATATGTTTTCCATTTATTCTTATTGAATCTCATTATATTAAAAAAATGAAACATGAGATTTTCTCTGTATATATTACACTCATCATTTATTAGTCATATCATTCAAGCTAAATATAAAACAAAAAAAAAAAAAAAATAAGAATGAATCCAATTATCAATAATAATTTGTTTGCTTCGGTGGGCTTCTTTTCTCGCCTTTCTTTGTTATATATATATATATTTTTCGTTTAAATTACATAAGAATACATATACAGAACAAGAAAAGAAAAAACTCCATTTATATATAGTAGTAGAAAAAAAAAAGCATCAATAATAGCAGCAGCAGCAGCATCAGTAAATAAGCTTAACAAAAAAAGAAAAAAAATGCATACACACAAAAGACAAAGACAGTACTTGTTCTTTTAAAAAAAAAAAAAAAAAAAAAAAAATTTTTTTTTTTTTCATCATTATTCAAGCACAGAATCCTGCAACTACAAAAAAAGAAAACAAAAAAACAAAACGAATAGAAGAAAAACAAACCAATTCTCATTGAAAAAGAAAAAAAAAACACGCAATTTGGCACAAAAAAAAAAAAAGAAGAAAGAGTCAGAGATTGCATTGAAGAGCAACAACACAACTTTTTCATTTATTTTTCTCTGTCTTTCATATAGTGCATATTAATATTTGGAATAGGACTTAAAAAGAATTAAAAAAAAAAAAAAAAGAATCAATATAAATAAAATATAATCAATTAATAATTAAATACCGATTTTGATCGTGTATAATAAGAATGAGTAGGTAATGAAATATTATTTGTCATTTGTGATTTACCACGATGTTGTTGACTTGATGAAACTTTTAATATAGCTGATGATATTGGATCACGATTATCACTATCAGATACAGTTAATGTTGTTCCAATATTATTATTATTATTATTGGTTATTGAACTTATATAACGTCCACTCGGATACATTGGACTAATATTTCAAACAAAAAAAAAAGAGATTTATGTCAAACAAAATATTCTTTTCTTTTAAATTTTTCTGGGTCAATAAATATCAGATTTATTCTATCCTAAGTGAATAGAAATCTTTCATTTATAAGTGAATTCATGTGTAAAATATTATGTTTTAAGGCGTTCTAATTTTTGACAATTACAATTATTTTCTCTTGCTTCATTAATAATAATAATAATATGATTATAATTCGATTTTAAAACAATATAAAAATCAAAAATTATAATTTAATCTTACTTTTTCATTATTGATGTTGCTGATGATATATAAGAACGAGGTTTACGTGTATTTGAATTTGATATAACATTGGAAGATGTATTTGACATTGGTCCATAACTACGACGTATACCAGTTGATGGATTGATTGTTGATGAAACATGAGCTGGCATACTGCCTGTTGAAGTCAATGGTGTATGAGCACGTTTATATGCTGTTGATGGATTGAATCTGTAGAAGAAAATTTTTTTTCTTTTTTTTTAAAACAAAAAAAAACTATTGAAAAATGAAAATGAATTAAAAGCAATTTTTTAGCTATCTTGTTTCGATCTAAGAAAAAAAAAACCATTCATGCAAAAATTATATAGATATGTATTTATATATATATATATATAAACGGTAAAACAGGCAGAAATAGGAATTGCTAATGGAATAATTGATTAAATAAAAGCAAAAGAAATAATGATATGTAAATAATCAAAGCAAATTTTAATGTGCATTCAATGGATAACACCTTTGTAAATGTGTTGTTGTAACTATAATAGGTTGATCTGATTCAAGAATATGAATAGGAGTCGAATTTACTCGACTACTATATATTTGTACTGGTATCATTTGTTCATCATCACTAATCGATGTTGTTAATAAAGGTCTTGCGACGAGACTATAAAAAGGTATTTTTCTTAATCTAAATCACATCACACGTTCACTATCACTCTACAAGCATCTATGGAGCAAGAAAAGAAAAGAAAACTGTTAACGAGCAATTAAAATTTAGAAAGAAAAAAAAAAGAGAAAACAATTAATTTAATATCATTTATATAGATTTGTATTTTTTTTTTCTCGATGATCAATCAAAGATGATAAATTCATCCATGCGATTATAAATTACTCATCTAGTACCTATTGGTACCATCACCAATGGCGATAGTATTATTGTTATCATGCATTCGAATTTGATGCAATTGTAGAGCTTTTTTTGTTGAAAATATTTTGTTGTTCATACATTTTTCACATTTTATCGATAATTGTTGATTTGCATGATTATTTTTATCGGAATGTTGATTTTTCATATGTTTGTTAAGTGCCAATGATGACTGATAAGTTTTAATACAATATTTACATCTAAACGATTAGTTGTTTTTCTGGTTTTTTTTTTTTTTTTTTGTTAAACATGCTAAAGGTTCCTTTCGCACTATCTTAGTCATTGAAAGTTCAAAAAAAAAAATAAATAAAAAAGATCTTACGTAAGACTTGATGTTACATTCGTATTTGGTGGAACCCAAGTTGGTGATGGTGTTGAATGATGATGTTGCATACGACGTGCTTTTATTTCATTTAATCGATCGCCTTGTGTTATTTCACCTTCATTCTCTTCCTAAATAAAATTCTCTTATTTTTTTTTTGTATGAAATTCAAATCTGAAACGACAAACTTCATTAGTATTATTATTATTATTATCTCCGATTGAATAACGAAATGGATGATGAGCAAATGTATCCATAGAAGAATTTGTACCAAAATATGACATATATCGTGGTCGATCTTTAATTCTATATGTATCACCTAATGACCAAAGCCATGCTTGCTTTCTAAAAATAGAACAAAAGAAAAAAAAGCTATTAATGCATTCCCGATGGGATTAAAATATCGAAAATGATCGCAGTCCCTGGTGTTAATCACAGAAAGATTGTTCTATTTCCGGATACATTTCTTCACCATTGTTTTACTTAATCCTTGAGACATGCAATAAAGAAACAAGTTCATACATTATAATAGGGTGTTATTCATCAGGGTATCCCAAGGTTACCAAGTTTAAGGACGGGAGAACGACACTACTGAAAAGGTAGAGTTCATGACAGCGGGGCGCGGGGGGGAGGGATCGACTACCGAAAAGGTAGGGTTCGCGAAGGTCGACTGTATTTATGGGGATTAGTAAGTAGAACAAATGAAGAATAACACATTTCAGTCGCGCTTGAAAACAAAAGAAAAAAAAAAAAAAAATCTTGCTAAGATTAAGAAGATCTCGCTCTGTTAGATTGTATTTTACAAAAAAAAGGAAATAAGTTGTTGTTTTTTTTTTCTAATTAAAAATCAAATTCTACACATACTCTTCAAGATAATTTTGTTGTGGTCCAATAACTGATCCAGGTCGACATATTCTTAACCAAGCAATAACTTCAGCTGCTGTAAATTTATAATGTTTCATTAAATATGCTCCAATTAAAGTACCCGTTCGACCAAGACCCGCTAAATATAATAATTGATTAAATTAAAAATTTGTTTATATCTTTTCTTTATTATTTCATCATCTTACCTTTACAATGAACGGCAACAGCACCTTTTGCTTGTTCAACAATATTTAAAAATTTTAATGTAATTGCATCACTGGGTGTACTACCATCATTAAAAAATAATTCATAATGATCAAAACCCGCATCAATAAATCGTTTAGAATCATATATTTTTTTATTTAAACGTACAATTGTTGATACATTACGTTTACGAAAATAAGTAAAATATGCTTCAGGTGCATGTAATGGATAACCCTATGTTTTTTTATTATTAAGAAAAAAAAAAAAAAATTACGTCATCAGATAAAAATATTGAAAGAAAAGAAAAAATTAAGTTTCTTTTTGTTTTTTTTGATCAACATACATTTTCTATTTTACTTTTTGCATGTGGTCCAGAAAAAGCAAGTAATTTACGAGGTACAATCCAATTTAAATCTCCATTTTCAACTTTCTATAAAATATACCAAAAAAAAAAAACGATTTCCTCTTTATTTTAATGGTTAGTTTTTACTTCATAATGTTCATATTCATCTAGGTCAAAATTTTCGAAATCAAAAAACCCATGAAGCATTGCCTAAGAGTGAAATAAAAAGGTAATTAATACATATAACCTTTCAAGAACAAATGAGACGGTTATTAACCTTGTAAAAACCTTGTAATGTATCAAGTAAGGTAAGATTATATGATGATGAACCAAGTGATGCATCTCGAAATGGTAAAAATGGATGGGCAGCATTTATACCACTTACTAATGGTTTATATGCATCTTCGGGCGTTCGTTTTAAATAAATGATCTATAAATAATCAAAATTAAAATTCGTATTTGTTTTTTTGTTTAAATTTAATTTTTACTGAATAAGTAGCAATAAGAAAAGCTGCATTAGCCCGTTTCTTTGGATCAAATGTTGTATAATGAATAATTCGTTTATGTGCTAAAGTAGAATTCTAAAAGCAAAACAAAAAAAAACAACAATCAAAGATTGATCGTGAAAAATATTTTTTTTACATTTAATTTTTTATTTAGTTTTGTACAATATCGATGAACTACAGCCAAATTAAGTGGACCAAAATCAGCATAAAAACTTAAAAAGAAAAATAGTTTTATTTTTGAAATATGAATTTTTTTTTTGTTACTTTTCATAAACAAATTCATCATCAATAGAAAAATAATGTGTATTTGCAGTTGATTTAGGTTTTATTCGTAATGTAGCAAAATAAAGACGATCTTTGAATATTTCGGATGCGCTACCGATAATGTCGGTTTCGCTACCACCACCTCCACCATTGCCATCGATCATTGGTTTTTATTGAGAAAAAAAAAAATTTCTTGATTTAATTTTTTTTTTTTTTTGTTTTATTTAATAAATAATTGGTTATTTAGGAAATTCATAGGCAAAAGAAGAGAAGGAAAGAGAAAGACTAAAATAAATAATAAAATAATTTGATAATGTCGATTAAAATAATAAGAAAAAGTGATATCTACCTAAATGAAACAAAAGAAAAAAAAAAAAAGAAACGTTTATATTAAAACAATCAAATTATTTTTAATCGATTTCTATAGTTCTGTTGTAGGGAAACAAGAAAAAGAAAAGAAAAAGAACGAATCAGCGTCCGTTGTTAAGCGCCATTAACTATGTGAATAGTCTCTGTTTTGTATTGATGATCATTAGATATCATATGTCAAATTAATTAATATTTTATTTTTATTTTTATGATTATATATAAACAATAAATGTTCATATGATTATATTTAATATTCTAGAAAATTATTATTAATGAAAAATCAGATGTCACTAGATGTTTTGTCAGATTGTAATCAATACTAATCATTGTTTTATTCATTTGCCAAAGAAAAAATAATTTTTCTCTAAGGAAGAAAGTGATTTCCGATGATGAATTTTTTAATGTTATGATTAATGAACGGATGTACGATGAAAAAACAATGATGATTTCATGTCTTCAAAATAAATCTAGAGTTCTAGAGCACAATCATTATAAAACTAATATCGTCTCTTTTTGTATCTCGTGAGAACAATACTATTTTTGTTTCTCGTTCATTTATACTAACCATTGAGATATTAGTCAAGAATGAAAAAAAAAAAAACTAATTATAGTGCGAATTCGAATTTCATTTCAGTAATATCGAACTATCTGATTAACTAGATTATATAAATACTCACTAATAACCAATCAATATTGTATGAGACTGTTTTGCCCTGTAGAAGTTGTTCTTATTCTGCTTACAAACATAATTTCTTGTTTGACCTTAAGAAACAAAATAACGAGAAGAAAAAAAAGAAAAAGAAAACGACTTAAAGATTAAAGAGTCAACAACTCATTTTTCATTTGTCATCTATGAAATAGAATAATATCAGTCCTTCATTGATGTTCATTGATTATAATTCTTTATTTTCGAAATTGAAATATCTTTCATTAGTAAATTTACTTTTGAATGATTCCTAGTTTTTAAGCTAAAAATTTTCTCTATCATTCTTATATATGAATAATATATTTGATTAAAAATATATCAATGAAATGATGCTTCTTATTCATAGAAATTGTTATTTGATATCTTTATGAATTATTATGAAAATTTTCATGATTTAATTCTATAATTAAAATTACTTTTAAAATAGATTAGATTCTTCTCTAGAAAAAAAAAAAACTTAAATTTGTCAATTCTATATCACAAGTTTTATTTTTCTCTCTATAGATAAATATTTATTGATTCTAAAAACTAAATCCAATATGGATGTCGCTTATAACTCATATATATATAACAATAGAAGCAGTTGCTATGTAAAAGTAGATAATTATGGCAAAAAAAATAAAAAGAATTTTCTTCTACTAAGGAAAACGAACGTATTTAAGTAAATCATTGTATTCATAAACAAAAAGACTTAAAATGGGAAAAGATTATTATCAAATTCTTCAAATAACTCGAATTGCTAAAGATAGTGAAATTAAATCAGCGTAAGAAATAAAATGATAGATTCTTGTAAATTATTCTTTTTTATATATAGTTACCGTCGATTAGCACTTAAAATTCATCCACTTAAAAATATTGATGATCATAATGCAGTTTATAAATTTAATGATCTTGCTGAAGCATATGATGTATTAAGTGATCGTATGTATTGAACTTAATAAATATATTCATTTTTTGTTTTATTTTAATTAAGATAAAAGACGAGCTATTTATGATCAATATGGTAGTGAAGGTTTAAAAAATGGTGTACCAATAGGTTAAATATGATTTAAGTTATAGAATAAAATATATATACGGTTTAATTTAAGGACCAGATCATGAATGGAGTGAAGGTTATGTATTTCATGGAAATGCTGAAAAAATATTTCGAGATTTTTTTGGTGGTGATAATCCATTTGCAGGCAAAAATGAAGAGAAAATTTTATTCAAAAAAAAAAAAAATTGAATTTATTTATTTAGAATTTTATACAAATGCTGAACAAGATCGAACGTTAAGTTTTGGTGGAATAGATGGTCGTGGTCGAATAAAAAAAGATTCACCAATAATACGTGATCTTTTACTTTCACTTGAAGATTGTTATCATGGTGCAATAAAAAAAATTAAAATAAGTCGAAGAGTAAGAAAAACAATAAAATTTTTCGATTTATTCTAAATTTTAATATGAATTTCATGTTCTTGTTTCTTTTTTTAAGGCATTAAATGATGATGGTATAACATCAAGTATTCGTGAAAAAATTCTTTCAATTACTGTTAAACGTGGTTGGTTACCAGGTACAAAAATAATGTTTGAAGGTGAAGGTGATCAAGGTCCAAATAATATTCCGTCAGATCTTATTTTTACTGTCAAAGATAAACCACATCTGACTTTTCATCGTGAAAATACAGATCTTATTTATACAGCTAAAATTAGTTTAGGACATGCATTAATTGGTATTACATTACATATTGAACATCTTGATGGACGATTACTTGATATACCAATTAATGAAATTGTTAGGTAAGAAAATGAAATTATGTAACAAAAAAAAAATAAAATAAAGAAACTAATGTTCATGCAAAAATATAATTGCTATGGATATTTTTGTGATGACTCAAGAATCAGAAGAATGAGGAAGATACGATTTTTACCGTTGAAGAAAGAATATCTAGACCTCTCAAAGTATATTGAAATTCGATTTTTCAGCAATTGTTCAATTACATAAATAATTCTTGGTAGAGCTTTTCGGAAATGATATTCTGAAGCTATTTCTCTTTCGATCTATACACGATCGGCATTTCTAACTAGTTCGATTCGAAAGTTATAAGATTATTTCTAGATTTGAAATTATCTGGCATTATTATCTCCATAGTCTCTGAATTTCTACCGTTAGTCTACATATAACAAAGAGATTTATATTTCGGAAATATTGAGATAATAGTATCAGTTCATCTCGATACTAAAAACGAATATCATCATTCGAGTTAGCATGGTGAATCACTCATGTTTAGCGAATTTTTCTGATAATCACAGATCAATCGACTGAAATGGTGAGTTTTACAAAAGTTTTATAACTCTTGAATAGAACTAGCCAAGAATGTCGGATTTATTTAGATTGAAAGAGAAATAATATCAGAATATCGTTTTTCGAAAATCTTAGTCAATAATTCATCTGAGTAGTCAATTACTGACTAATTAAATTTCTATATACTTTGATATTCCTGATTCTTTTCTCTTGAATGATGAAAACCACAGTTCTCTAACTCTTTCCATTGTTGAGTTATTGCAAAACTATCAAGAGTCATTATATTTTTTTGATAGACATTTATTTTTTTTTTTAGGCCTGGATATAAAAAACGTATACCAGATCATGGTATGCCATTAATGACAGATTCAGATAAATATGGAGATTTAATTATTGAATTTGATGTTATTTATCCCTATGGACTAAATCCTGATCAAAAATTATATATTAAGGAGGCATTAATAAATAATCAAAATAATAAAAAACATCAACAACATGGTCATAATAAAAAAAAACATATAATACATGGAGAATAAATAAAGATTTTTGTGTTTTATTTTTACCATTTAACTTAATTTACAGATATTATTTCAATAACTGGAAAAAAAAACATTCTTTTTTCGTTTGTCATATATAAAGAAGCAATAAAGTTCTATTTATTTATTTATTTATTATAAAGGACTTCTTTTATTCTGTCAAGATTTTGTTTTAAATATATTTTTACACAAGGATAAAAGCCATTTGTATGATTGATTGATTGCCGATGACATTTGAACAAGTCATATTCGAACTATTGTAGATATGAAATTCTTTATAGAGTGTTTAATAGTAAGTTTGTGTAGTTTAAACAGAAGGAAGATAGTCGAGAGTTTAGTCCTGAAAGTCTTATTGAAGTCTTCGAAAACTCTGTAGTATGTTGAATTCAAAAAAAAAAATTACAAGAAAATTAACATTTATCTCTGAAAATATCTTGATTTTGATGATCTTATTTTAGTATATTTATTATTAAATGAAGTTATTTAAAATCTATAGTTAAATATTTTATCAATTTATTATTAATTTTATAGAGAATTGCTAACTTGTTATGCCACTAAGTAAGAAGCTGTTTGCTTATGTATGAATTTAAGTTTGTTATTCATATGATTTCGAAAGTTTATAAAATTTTAGATGTCTCTATCTTTAAACTCTTTGAACCTGTTATTCATCGTTTCTATGAGTGAAAATTTTTTCGACTATAATCAGATTATTGTGCAACAAAATCCAAAGTATATATGATTTAAGAGATTTAAATCATTAAAACCGGTTAAATATCTTCGTAATCGATTATAATTATGATCTTATTGCATAATAATCCGATTATAATTGAAATAATTTTCAATCAGTTGAACTTAAAAAATCGTCTACTCCAATAATCAAAATGAATAATGCGTTTTTATTTTTTAAAGAATTAATACAAATCATTTTAGTTCATGTACATAAACTGACTATTCTAGACAAAATGTTTGCATTTTTTTTATTAATGTTAGAAAAGCAATAAATCACTGTTTGAAATGTATCGATACTGAAATTCTTATCTAGTCAATCGAATAATTCAGAGCAACAAAAAATCTAATAAATACATGAAATGAAAATTATAAATTTCATAATCAAAGGTATTATATAAATATCAAATAAGTCTCGATTTGAAAGAATTAACATTTCACATGATTACTAATTAAAGAAGTCTCGAACTAATAAAAGCGATGTAAATACAATATTAACTGAAGTTTGGTCTTCATAATACGAATACTATTCTATTGCATATTTATTTTCAAATAACAATAATACAAAAAAAAAAACAATGCTAGAACAATAAGCACAACCGTCAAAATCAACAGAAAAAAATTCTATACCGTAAAAGTTATTTTTTAAAGTAATCGAACATGTATCTCATAATGTTTACAATTGCATTCCTTAAAATTTTTTAAAGGCCTCCTCCCGTCAGAAACGATTTCCCACTTGGGATAGTACATTTGAGCTGAAATTTTCAGGGATGACTTATCCTGGTGAGATACACTTCTGATAAAAATGTCAGCCCTTATAGATCATATTAGGCCGGAGTTCTAGCTGATTCATGACCCATTTTTGAAATCGATATAACTTCCTCATGACAAGTGCTATAGAGCTCGGGATGGTTTTAAATTAAAGCTAATGTCAGTGCGCAAGTTTTGTCCGAACAGAATTTTGCAATTCAATCTCATTCGTTTTTTATGAGCATTTTTAGTGACATGGTCTAAAAATCAGCATAAAAAATGGTGGTCCAACGGCAGTAAATTCTGCTTTTCTCAGCGCAGGAACCAACTATAAAAAATCCGTTCGGACAAACGTTTACTCTTATTCAGACCTTTGAAACAAAAAAAAAACATCGATTATACTCCGAGCTAGGACAGATCTATTTCAATTTTCCTGTCTGAAAACCGTATTTTGAGAAAAACGCTAAAGAAATTTTAGAACTGGATTTTTTCATTCAAATTCAAAAAAGAATCATATTACAATGGTATATTATTAATTCATTCCAGTGCACCGTTTAAAAGCACGTAAGAGATGAAGGTAGCTAACGACATCTGTCATGCTGGCTAATATAAAAATGTTCTACTCAATGCTAATGAAACTGGCAACGCATTTTTTTCCAAAACTGAAAACCTTTAAAAACCACGAAAATTTCTCGAAAAATATGGTGGTAGGCTCTAGATTTCATGTGATAAGTCTTTGAAAATCTGATCATTTTCCAAAAAGCCATATATATTCTGAAAGAGGAAGCTTCGCTGCATCTTCCTATGATAAAAACTCAACTTCGATACTTCTTTGAAAAAGTGAATTTTCTAAGGGGCGAGCCTCCTTTAAATGAATTTATTTGTTCTCCTTGTAACGGATGCGTCATAAAGAATGAGAGTCTTTGTATTTTTTTAACAACTTCTTCAGTTTCCATAGATACGGACTGATGTTTCTTGTTAAAAAATTCAGTGTTTAGTTCTCCACAAAATCACATACATATTGGTATCACAAAAATAAAAATAAAAATCTTATCGTAAGAATACTAGAAGCATGTAATATCAATAATTTTCAAGCACAAAAATACTGTTTTCTTATATTTATGTGTGTGTATGCCGATAAAAAAAGTTTATTATCTAAAATAATGTTTAAATAAGTACATTTTTTTTTCTTATTTGAAAAATGTAACTCTTATGTATGTCTTATGACTCATGGTATAAAATTTATTTGCAAAAATTGTTGAATATGTTAATAAAATAATGTTGTTGAAGCACTACAAAATGAATAATTCATTTTGTTTATATGAGTCAGAATAAATATACATCAATAACTTAAAACAGAACCGTTTTTCATGCTTGAAAATTGTTGATATTGTATGTTTGTAGAATTATTACAATTAGGTTTTTATTCTTATTCTTTGTGACATCTGTTTGTATATAATTTTCTAGAGAATTAAACATCAAATCTTTTTTTGGGGGCAAAAAAACAATTTCAGTTCGTATCTATGAAAACTGAAGAGAATATTGAGATTCTCATTTTTTATGATTAATAAAAATGAAATGTCAAACAATATTGTTTTGTATTTCAAATACATAATCGAAAATTTTTTCGTATTTTATTCTCTTAACAAAACACAAAAAAGAGATTATTAATTACAAGTTTAACGATTTAATAAAAAGAATCACATCTGTACAAAAATGCATTAATTGCTGCTCTAATTAAATTATAGAAAGCAACTAATTTTGATACACCCATTGTATCTAATGTATGTTGAGCATAAACTCTTGCATCATAATTACATGTTAATCTTCTCCAAACATTTTCAATAAATGATAACCAATCATAACGAAATGAAAAAAGAATTTTTAATGATTTATTAACAGAATCTGGTAAATCTTTTGATGTTGCTGATCGATCTGAGTCTTTTAATAGACGAAATGGTGAAAACCTTCGTTGATTTCTAATTGTTTCATATAAATTTGTATTTTTTCTTGTCATAGAAATTAAATTAATTAATTTTGCCCAAGATAGACCAAATGTTTTTTCAACTTTTGATGGAAGATATTGTAATTTTGATTCAACTAATGGTAAAGCATTATAAATTGTACTTGTATATGCTAACCACATATATGTTAAATAACATTTATCCATAATACGACCATCAATTTTTTTATTTCCTATACATGATGATGATTGCTTAAGATGATAGAAAAACCGATACCATTGTATCATTGCATCTGGAATTTGATCAAAACATTCTGAAGAATTCGTACAAAAATTTTCTTCTCGAAATATTCGAAATGGTTCTCGTTTAATAATACCAACATCCATAGCAACAAGAAATGGTATTACTGCTAAATAATAATTAGCTGAACCCCACCAACTAGTTGTTGAAATCATCATTTCATCATATGTAAATAAACGATTTGAACTAAATTGCCAACCGAATTGTGATGGTAATGCAAAAAGAATATTTGATGCATTTGATGATGAACAAAATGGCATATATGGTGTTGTTACATTAATTAGAATTTTATACAAACCAAGTCTATGAATATAAGACCATGGATTAATTAAACGATATTGAGAAGATGAACCATTTATTAATGGAAAATCATTTAATGATGAAGGAGCTTGATCCCAATATGGAGGATAATAAATTTCTTTATTATGAATTTCATCAGCATTCGTATTGATAATAGACAACCAAAAAATTATTGATAAGAATATTATTATACGCATTAAGCAGATTATCACTCGGAGTAGTATCAACTGTTATGAGTACTTATGTAAAAGACTGTTTGTTATATACTGTTCGACATCGAATGAAAAAAAAATGACTGTAAATGTTTGTTAAGCATGCGCATATTTTATCCTTAGCGAATGGGATTGTTTTGCGTCGTAAACGTAAGTGTACAGTGTTTTCGAGTTTACACCAACGTATATAGAGTCTATACAGTGCAAATAAATGAATTCGAGCAAAGTAGACATTATAATAAATAAAAATGACTTTTTTTTTTTAGCAAAATATTATAATAATGCAAATAGATTGATCTGATCAATCTTGTAACATTGATTTTAAAGTTTATTGAACATTGAAATTTGAATAGTATTAGTCATCGGTTATTATGACCTGTTCTATTTTATTACATGAAAGTATAGTACTCAAATGCATATACACTTTCAAGGTATTTTTTTTTTCTTTCTCTCAAAGCGTCTCATATTTTTGAGACGATCAAATAAATGAAAGGAAAAAAAAAATAATATGATTCGCTGTGTAACAATAATATGATACTTATCTTATATTACCTTTTATGATGAATAAAATATATTTGTACTTCTTAAATCTAAAGAAAAAAAAAATAATCATTTATCTATTCATTAATAATCAGTTCAATAATAGAGCTTGATAATTCTAAATTGGAAAATAGGAAATCTCAATAAAGGTATGCTGTTATAACCGAGAACTAAAACAATTATCTTTATGACTAACATCTTAAAATAAAATTTTTCTTTTTATTGTTACCATTTTTGAGTGATGATTGAATATTTATAAATCAGCGTTTTTTTTTTTTTGTTGTTTTGTTGAATATGTATGAAGAATCAGTAAAGCTTTCGAAAAGAGAACGTCTCTGTTCAAGTATTAAAGATATTTTTATGTTATTTATAGTCCAAAATATGCAATAGTTTTAACTCAACCTTGTTGTAGACTATTCAATTCTCTACAAAGTCAAATACGATTATAATGATCTAACCGCAGAAATCTTCCTGATAGTTGAACATTGTCATATTAGTTATTGAAAGTGTTTACATTTTTCTTTCAAAATAATATTGCATTTATTTCATTCAATTTTAATCTTCATGTAACAAATCTATAGCATCAGCAGTACTGCAAATAAATATTAAACTAACTAATGAAACATTTGCAACAGTCAATTGATATAATAAAATTATTTTTTTTAGTTAACTTTATTTCATTTACTTTCAAATCAATTTCATGAGTTCTTTATCAAGACAATACCGAAGATTTGATTTTTTTTTTGTTTATTGCATAAACTTTATAATTTCAAACTGTCTAATTATTGATGCAAGACATTGTCTTTATATTTATTATAAGTACTGAAAATGAACAGCAACATCATTTTTTTTTTTTGGTACCTGGAAAAATAAATTAATAAAATATTTTTCAATTTTATTATATGATAGTTCCATACATCACTAATAGAAACTTTGATTTTTTGTTAAATAACTTTTTTTTTATTACAATAGTGAGTGATAAATGCATCATATTCGTGATAAAATTGCACACAATATAATAAACAACGCCCAACACTTTTAAATAGCCAATATCAGAAGAAATGAAAGAAAGAAAATAATTTTGCCTACGACATTTAATAAGCTAAATATATAATCAAAACGATAACAATAATAACTAAAGATAGAATCTATTTCAACTAACTATCATAATTCATCAAAAAAATTGAATAGATCTATATGAATAAAATTAATTCGTATCTTTATTCTATTCTAATCAATGATAAATTACATTTGAACTAAAGATTTATTCATGGAAAATTTGTTAAATTAATATCGATTTTATTTAGATTCTGTTAGCATAGATGATTATTACTATGATATAAATTTTAGACGTCTATTTATCAACTAACATAGACTTTGAAATGATTCAGTTATTAATAGAGAGTCATTAGTAATCAACGAAATATATTCAACCTTTTAACCTCTTTTGTTTTTTTTTTTTCGATGTCTAAGACAAACCGACAACCAATTGAATAGCAATACGTTTCGTCTCTTTATTACCTGGCTGCGTATTAATGCAAAATATTGGCCTTATCAACTTCATATCATAAAAATTTGTTTACATCATGATTGTAACATACTAGACTAACAAAATATTTTAGAGTTGAAACGAAAGTCAACTAGTACAATAGAAAATAAACTATAGACTGTTCAATTATAATTTATCAATCAATTTGACACTATTATTGAGTACAAAAAAAAAAGGATACGAATGATTTACGTTCGTTTTTCTTTCAACTTTTCTAAGAGACTAAATTGTTCTTTTTTTTTCAAAATTGCTTAGTTGTTAAGCAAACAACATCAATACTTTGCTGCCATGCAACCTAATTCTATTGTATAATATACTATTAAATTATTATAAACAAAATATTAATCGAAATTAAATTGATATAAATTTTCTTTATCATAAATAGAAATTATCTAGAATTTCAAATTGAAAATTATTTTTTGTTTGTTATTCTATTATAAATTGTATTTTCTAATTTTATTTTGAATAACAAAAAAAAAAAAAAAAAAAAAGAGAAAAAATATTTTTTTTTTAAATTTAGAAAAAAAAAAAAAGATAGGAAAATATTATTTAAAGATAAAAAATTAAATCTTTATTCTGATTGGTAATTGACAAGGCAATGATATGAAGCAGGTAGAAAATGAATCATGACCTATTTTATTTGTTCAAACAAAGAGAAAGAACGAATACAAGCAAATAAATTCTCACGTACAAGATTCTTCTTTTTTTTTTTTGTAAAAATGATGAACGGTTATTATACGAATCAGGATAATGCATTAAATGAAGTACGAAGTATTATTAGTCAAAAAACTAGTGATGATTTAACAAAATTAATGACTAATGATGATGAAGTAACAAAATTTATAGGAAATCTTAATGAAGTATAAGATAAATTTTTTTGTCATTTTGTGTTAAAACCGTTTTTGTTGTTTTTTTTTTTTAGATTCAACACATGGAAACTATTAAAGAAAGTTTAAAAGAAAATATTAAACGTTTAGCTTTACAAAATCTTGATAAAGAACCAATGCTTATACATGAAAAACAAAAACTAGTTGAAGTATATGAGGAACTTAATAAAACAAAAGATCAATATAAATTAATTCAACAACAATATGGTAATCTAAACAAATTAAATTAAAATGAAAAATAATTTATTTCGTTTTATAGAAGAACAAATCGGTGAAACAAATCCAGAAATGATTTGGGTACTTTTGCAAACAGCTGCATCTGAACTTGAACGATCTACTGAGGTATAGAAAATTTAGATTCTCCATAATGAAGATAAATATATACATGAAAATGATTTCCTACATTTGATTGTAAAGATTTAATTTCAATATTTTTTTTTCCATAATAGTAAAAACGAATGTCAATAATGATATGAATAGAGAAATTTGTTTTCAATCAAAAAAAAAAATGAAAATTTTACTATATTCAAAAAGTTTAGAGTTTTGTAGAAAATCAAAAATCTAGTCTTTTTAACATTCAAATATTCACTCCTGTTAAGTTATTTTGATTACGCTGGGTACTAGAGCAACTAATTCTCTAGAAAATGCCATGTCTTCGAGCTATTAATGATTTTTTTTTTTGACTGAATTACATCAATTTTAAGACATGCACAAACATCATTTTCCATCATTGAAAATAGCGAAAAAATTATTTTTGTGTCTTTCTTAAAATTGATATAATTTAGTAAAAAAAATATATATATATCTTAGATAGCTCGAAGGCATTTCATCGTCTAGAGAATCAGTCGCTCTATTATCCTATATAATCAAAATAAATTTGAAAGTTTGAGTTTTTGAGTATTGCAAATAAAATTTACTATCAATATGACTATTTAAACACTTTATTCTAATTACTATTATAGAAAATACAAATGAGAAATTAAATTTCGTATGATCAATTTTTTAAAGACACTTATTCTCTATTTTAAAACAACTAGAAGTGTAAGTGATATGAAATTCTTTCGAAATATTCGTTGTTTAATTTAGATATGAGTTGTAGTATAACCGAAAAAATAGTATCGGTTTTTTTTTAAGAATGAAATTGATTAATATGGTTCAATATTATGTGTTAAAATAATCCTATATTGATATACACTATTAATGTTCATTTCAGAGTTAAATGACTGTGGGGTATTTTTTGAATAACTTTTAAGATAGAAATCTCGGTTTTTACCGTTGGAAAGAGCAGATGAAGACGTATCGAACTACATATAGAAATATTTTTTCTATAGGTTTTGTCAAAAGTTTTCAAAGAATTGCTTTTTTTTCTTCTCCTACGTTAAAAAAGTGCCTTTTCTATCAAAATACGACAAAAATTTACATTTTTCGATTATTTTTGTTGAAAGGTGGTAAATTGCATTCCGATGGTTTGGATATCATATTGGTAGTAGTTAGGAACAGCGTCTTGATATATAGTTTTGTAGCACTTTCTTTGGCGATTCTAGAGCACTTCTGAAAATCAATAAATTAACATCGTGACTATGAGAAGTATGCTATTATTCTTGAAGTTTTATGTAAAACCTATAGGAAAGTAGTTAGGAAAATCTTTCGATGCGTCTTCATCTGCTATTTCCAACGGTGAAAACTGAAGATCTCTATCTCGTTCCTATCAAAAGTTATTTAAAAAATATCCACGAGTATTGAACTCTGAAATGGACATTAGACGATTAAAATTTTTTTTTTTTTTTTTGTTTTAGTCAACAGCTGAAAATTTTTTCGATGTTGAAAAAAGTGAAGAAGAAGTAACAGAATTTGAACGTCGTTTTATAGAAGATCGTAAACGAGCACATGAATTAAAAATAAAAGCAGAAAAATTTCATGAATTAATGCAAGTATCTCAATCAACAGCTTTTCTTAATTCGAATCAATATACTTCATGGTAATGGATATTGTTAGATGAATATTAAAATGAATTCGATTTCTATTTTGTATTAATTCAAGTTTTTTTTTGCTTTGTATTATTTTAATGAAAAAGAAAAAAAAACAGATAAATGAATATTAAAGAAATAAATCTGAAATATTATTTATATTACACAATAATTTTTATGTTTTGTTTGTTTTAGATTAACATTGATCGAAGAAAAGCAAAAAAAAGTGTTTTTTTTTTTAATCATTTGATCAAATTTTTTGATTTAATTATTAAGAAAATTCTTAGATCTATTCATATTTATTCTCATTACATTGTCTCATGAGAAAACATATCCAAGTGTGTAATCATTTTTGATTCAGAACTATGTAGATCATAATGAGCTATATGATACACATAGTCCTGACTCAAAAATGATTTGATACTTGAATATGATTAGAGCCCTGCAGGGTGCCCATAACCTGTCCTGCCTTGCCCTGCCAGGGCAGGTTGCAAAAGTAGCAGGGCAGGGCAGGGTCAGGTTACGAAATTTTTACAGGGCAGCACTGTCATAACCTGTTAACCTGCTATTAATTTATCGAATCAAACATTATAGACATCTTTTGAAAAATTTTATACGAAGAAGAATATCGAAGCATAAAACAACATAAAGTAGGAGAATTGATATACGAAGTCGATGAAAAGTTATGAATTTTTTTGTAATATCAAATATAGCAGGGCAGGGCAGGGCAGGTTACAGGTTATGAAAAAAGTCTCAGGGCAAGGTACGCGAAAAAATTCACAGGGCAGGACAGGATTAGGTTGCAGAATTTTTACAGGGCAGGTTACAGGTTACGAAAATACTGCACCCTGCAGCCCTCTAAATATGATCGCTTTTCAGAAAATAAAAACGAAAAAAAACTTTGTCTGATCTGAAGTTGATTTTCATATCTACAAGTTTTCTATTGTATTTAATTATAGTTGACATATTGATGAACATTTCTATGAATGTGGTATACTTGTTTGTCAATTAAATATGAAAGTTCTATGTTTAAAACACGAATAATATTATCAACAAATGAATGAGATATAAAAGACGTTTGTATAAATGTAGCAAAGATTTCATCGGTAGTATTTAAATTATTATTGTATTTTTCTCAATCAATTTTGTTTATTGTATTGAGTATTAAAAAAAAAATAATTAGAATTGTTATGCTATGAAACTCTTATTAAAAATAAACTAAGCTTATAGATTATAATAAGTTGAAATAATTGAAATCTTTTTTTGTAAAATTATCTTTGAACTATTTCATTAATTATTTTATATTTAGATTATATACTATTTCTATTATTTTAAATATTTTTTGATAAACATGCCTGGTGTCAAACGGTGAGTGAATTCTCATCTATTAAATTTTTTTCTATTAGGTTTTTTTCTAAATTTAGTACAACAAAAACAGTATCTTCTACAGAACACAACGATGATGATGGTAAATATTTTAACATTATTTATATCTTTCAACTTTTTTTTGTTTTTTGTTTCATTTAGATTTTATTTCAACAGCTGATAATATTAAAAAAACTCGTAGTATGAAATCAGATGATCAATCAACAGAATTAAAAACTTTAAGTCGACAACCACTACGAAAACGTAGAGAAAAGTTCGTTTTGTTCATTTCTATTGAAAACGAAGAATAACAAGCATCACATTTTTATTAGATTATCAAAAACTGAACAAGATGAACTTGATTTAGCACTTAAACTTTCGAAAGAAACAGTACAATCAAATGAAACTTCAATTGAAATTCCAATTAGTACTGATGATAAAGAAAATTTAAGTAATACATCAACAGTATTGAGTAATGGTATGAATAAATATTTTAAAAATAAAAAAAAAGATAAAATTCTATTGATGTTTATCTTAGAAAGTAAAACAACAATAGAAAAAGAATCTGAAGAACAAGATGAAAATTCATTACCAAAAAGTAAACGAATCAAACTAGATGAAGAAGGTAAAATATATATATATTTAATTGTCATTTTATTAAATGTTTATTTTAGAAGAAAATATTGATGAAAACGAATCAAATAGTGAAGAAGAAGAAGAAGAAGAAGAAGACATTGACGAAGAAGAACAAGAACCAACATCACGAAAAAAATCGATCCGTAAAACAGAAAAAAACAAGAAAAATTCTGGTAGATTGATTCGTAATATAAAAAAAGCATAAACCATATTTTTTTATATGTCTTTTTGTCAAGAAATATCAACAGTAACATCAAGTGATTGTCGAAAAATCACACGTGGTCAACAAAAATCTTCAGGTAAATAAATATAAACACATTATTTCCTGAAAATATTCGACAGAACTCATTCTTTCGAGTTTTTATGTCGTGTCTTGCAAATATATTGAATTATAATCAAAAAAACTATTGAGAATAGTAATCATTTTCATTTTTGAAAATTCTTGTTTGAAATAAAATTCTCTATATAAATTACAATTTAGATTCTTTACGAAAGTAGAAAAATAAACTTGTTTGAATAAGTTGTAAGTCTCTTAACATATATATATATATCTTATTAATTTAGTGCCAACGATGGATCTTTCAAAGAAAAAATCCAATGTACCATTAGGTTTTCCAACAAATAAAATAATTATTCCATCATTACAAACATCTCGTGTTGGTTTATCACGTAAAATTTCTGTTATAAAACCTCTTCATCCTAAACTTAATCAACGAGCTATTCATGAATAAGTTTATTTATTTTATCGTATGTGTTTTATTCTTTCATTTGTACATATATATATATATCAGCATTGTATAGATACAAAAAACTAGTCATCTTTTTGTTTGTCTCTTGTGTTCTTAAACATAGTTTTTTTTTTTTTTTTGTATTTTTTTTATAAAAAGAAACAAATGATCTCAAGAAAATTAGACAACTTTATTTTATTAAAAATTCTAGATATACATTCCATAATGTTATTGATATAAACTGTGATGTCAACAATAACTTCTTCATCTTCATTAATGGCTAATGAATATAATAATAATAATAATAATAATATAACAACAGTTAAATTTTTAATACATTATCAACAACAAGCAACGGTTATTTATTTACCATATAATTTAACATTAGAATCATTTTATAATAATTTATGTTCAATATGTCATTTAATATTAACTGATCCACCAACATTTACTGTTAAATGGCTTGATGAATCATTAGATGCAATAACAATGTCATCACAAAGAGAATTAAATACAGCTATACGTTTATATACAAAAAATGGTGATAAAGAATTACATATACATGTTTTTCCAAATCGTCCCGAACAACCAGGACTTTTATGTCCAGGTGAAGATCCACTTATATATCGACGTGGTGCACGTCGTTGGAAAAAACTTTATTTAATTAATGGACATCGTTATCAAGCTAAAAGATTTAGTACAACAGCTGCTTGTATTGTTTGTAATGATCGTTTATGGGGTTTAGGTAGACAAGGTTATAAATGTCTTGATTGTCGAGTATGTTTCCACAAAAAAAAAAAAAAAAGACGATAAAATAAAATCTTCATAGACGAATAAAAAAAAAATTTTTATTTTTATTTCAAAAAAAAAAAGGTTCTTGTACATAAACGATGTGTAAAACGTTTATGTATTGTTTGTGGTACAACATCAGCAGGTTCATCACCACATCATCCAAAAATGATGGATTCAAATGGACGATATACATCAACAGGTAGTATAACAACAAATGGACAACAATTATTATCAAATAAAAAATCAAATGAAAATCAACAACAAAATGGAACTATGGATAAAATTGGTCGACATCGACCAGCTGGTGCTAGTGTTATGAATGCTCGAGATCCGATGACAAAACAAAAAATGTCAAGTATTTGTGAACCTGGACCATTAAAACGAGCACAAGGTATAAGTTAATAAAAATATCTTTAGTTAAATTACAAAAATGATAAGTTAAGATGACTCTATAAAAGATTCAGATACATTTAAATCCTATCAAATTTTCAATAAATATAAATGTTATAGTCAAGAAACTATGGTAAAATTTTTGAGCTCTATATCATGATATTTTCAGCAAATATTCATCAACTAAGAATCAAAAATAGTTCATTTAGCAAGTTAAAAATTCTCTATTAATCTCTATTCTGTAGATTTAACATTGTTTTTATTAGAAAGAACATATCAAAGTGTAATGCTCAGCAGAGCATTTTATCCTAATTCTTACTCGAAGAAAAAGCAAAAAAAAGTTCAATCCCTCGAAAACTTAAAAATAATCATATATTTATAGAAATACTTTTCTTTGTATAATAATTAAAAAGCTTAATTAAAAACGAGGAGATTTTCTAAACATTACAACTTTACATGTCTCTTTTCAATACTAGAGAAAGCCATTGACAACAGTAAGGCTTCTTCGAGAATTCTAAAATACTCGATCAGAAAAGTATACATAGACAAAAAAAGATTTTTCGCTTTATCTGAAGCATATTTTTTCAAAGTATAAGACAGTGGGAATCATTAAAAATATTTGTCAAAAAAAAAAAACGAGATACACGATAAAAAATATCGGTTATGAAAGATCAAAATTTAGACTATCTTTCCATGCACTTATCTCAGTTTTAATTTTTCTTCATTTATTTATAGTTTTTTTCTTGATATTATAAATTCATATTAGTTAATTTTAATATAGTAGTACTTCATCATATCACAATAAATAAAATCAATATGAAATTTATGTAATATTTAGGTTTAACTGATCTTGGTCATTCTCCTATTGATGATCCAAGTGGTACAAATAGCAATTATATAGATGTAAGTGGTAATATGCAGAGTTCTCCATCGGGTTCTCCATCAATATGTTTACAAGATTTTGAATTATTAAAAGTAATTGGACGTGGTTCATATGCTAAAGTCTTTTTAGCTGAATATCGACCACGATATTTACGTAATAATTCAAATAATCAACAACAACAACAACCACCACGTTTATATGCAATGAAAGTTATAAAAAAATCTATTGTTAATGATGATGAAGATATTGATTGGATACAATGTGAAAAAAATGTTTTTGAAAAAGCAACAAATCATCCATTTCTTGTTGGTTTACATTCATGTTTTCAAACTCCATCAAGATTATTTTTTGTTATTGAATTTGTTACTGGTGGTGATTTAATGTATCATATGCAACGACAAAGAAAACTGCCTGAATCAAGTGCTAGGTTAAAAATAATAATAATAATAATAAGTGAAAAAAAAATAAAGAAAATTTTTTTTTTTGATTTTAGATTTTATGCGGCAGAAATAACAATTGCTTTACATTTTTTACATGAACATGGTGTTATTTATCGTGATTTAAAATTAGATAATGTTTTACTTGATGCTGATGGTCATATTAAATTAACTGATTATGGAATGTGTAAAGAAGGTTTAGATTTTAAACGTGATGAACGAACAAGTACATTTTGTGGTACACCTAATTATTTAGCACCAGAAATGTTAAGAAATCATGATTATAATTTTAGTGTCGATTGGTGGGCATTAGGTAAATTATAAAAGTTTTATTTATAATATAGTTTTTACATAAAAAGTTCTAAAACATTTTCATAATTATTCCTTAATAGTTTAATCTTTTTTTTTGTTGGTTGTCTATACTAAGAGCCATAAGATTGATTATTGTTGAGTGAGTTCTCGCTACGAACCGTCAGACTCTTAATCAAAGGCAAGAAAAGATTAATTTGATTTTTGAATGTAAACATATGTTTACCATTATAATTCGTCAAACTGTCATGTTTATTTGAATAAACGAATTATTACCCACTGATACTTATCAAACACAAAATATTCAACGATAAATAGTTCTATTCATTCGGTAACTTTTCTTTGATTCCAATAGTATTAATATAAAAACTGACTATTGCAAATATCGTTTTCCTAACGAAATATTTCGCTGTAAAATGTTAGTTATCAACAAGGAACGTTCGTCGGTTCGACTCACTTGACCCTCGACTGTATCAGACAGAAGTATACAAGTCTCATCCATGGACACACAGTTATGAAACAGCTGATTAAGGGAGAATTTATCACATATGTCGGATTGACTGAATTTTCATTCTGAAAAATTGAATTGGTTGAAAATTCAATATTAAAAGCACGAGAATCGAATACTTAGCCAACGGTTTTTATGATGTCTCACCTTCCACTATGACAAAAACTTATTTTATTTCATATAACCGTTCCTACACTTGAGAAAAAATTTATTTTCTCAAAAAAAACCTTTTCTTCTGAACCCAAAAAAATTCAATTCAAAATTTCGAGAAACTGACCTCAGATTCGGATTCTCCGACCTTGATTTGTTTTCGTCAACCTTTATACAATATTGTTATTTTCGCAAAAAACCCTTTCCTCAACCTAAAAAAATCAATTGAAAATTTCGAGAAACTGACTTCAGATTCGGATTCTCCGACCCCAGATTTACTTTCGTCAACCTTTATGAAAAATTTTCTAAAGTAGAAGTTTTTTTTGACCTCGATGTTTTTTTGACCCCGATCAGACACACACACAAACTATTTTTTTCACATGACCCTCCCTACAGTCGAGAGAACAAGCAGTTGTGAAAGAGAAGAGGTTCCACCGATTTGTTTGTGTTGCTCATTTTGAAGAGCACGGTAACTTCGACGAAATAGAACCTTAATTATTGTTACATCAAAAAAAAACATCAATAAAGATAGAATTTTGCTTTGCGCTGTTATTTAGTACAGATATTTGATATGTGACAAAGTTCGAAAACATGTTATTTTATCGAATTTATTCTGTTCTTTATGATGAGCAAAATGAAGACAATATTTTCTCTTTCACAGTACTTTTTCACAGCTTTATGTTGATGATTAGTATTTTCGAACGGAAAGTGTCATTACAAAAAAACATAATTATAATAAAAGAAAAAAAAATACAGCATAAATCGAACGGAAAATATTCGAGAACTTTTTTGTCGTTGGATATTTTATGTCGGATAGACATCAGAATGCTCAACAGTATTCTGAAATTCTTTACGAAAAGTGTATTATATGATTTAATTTGGTTTTCTCTAGGTGTACTTATGTTTGAAATGATGGCTGGACGATCACCATTTGAAATAGTTGGTTCAGCTGAAAATCCAGATTTAAATACAGAAGATCGTCTATTTCAAGTTATACTTGAACAACCAATACGTATTCCACGTTCATTAACTGTTAAAGCCAAAAATGTTTTAGAAGGTTTTCTTAATAAAGATCCTCGATGTCGTTTAGGTTGTCGTTATGATCCAATATTAGGTTGTCAAGCTGGTTTTCAAGATATATGTTTACATCCATTCTTTTATCCAGCTATTGATTGGCAACGTTTAGAATCAAGGCAAATTATTCCACCATATAAACCAATATTAACGGAAGATAAAGATCTTTCACATTTTGATCCACAATTTACAAATGAAGCTGTTGTTTTAACACCTGAAGATGATGAAGTTTTAGCACGTATTCAACAATCAGAATTTGAAGGTTTTGAATATGTTAATCCTTTAATTATGACTGTAGAGGGCAATGTTTAATCTATATGTACATTATTATTATTATTATTACTATTATTATTATATATCAAATTCATATATGCGTAATTTATCACTCGCAATATTCTTCTTTCTTTTTTTTTTCTTCTTATTTGTCTACCGTTGTTTTCATTCAAGACTTATCGTCTCTGTTTATGGAATATATATATATATATGGATATCAAATCACTTTGAATGTGTGTTATCGGCTTTTCTTCTTTTTTTTTCCTTCTTTTTTTCTTATTCTCTTATGTTTCTTCTGTATTTAATGCATGTTATTTACAACAAAAACGAACATCAATAGAACAAAAGACAATCAGTTAATAACAATTTATTAAAATTTTTTTCAAGAGAATGTTCCATAAGATAAAAGTTTTTTTTTTTTTAAATTTTAAATTGATACAATATAATATTATACAGAAGAAAAAACAAATATAAAAATATGTTAATTTTAAATTTTAAACAAAAATTTAATTCTCACTATTCTCTTCTCTTCTTGCTGTTAATTGTCAAGTTAGTGAATTAAATTCTAAATTATTTGCAAGGAATTATCAATAGAAAAACTTCTTGCCGAAATTCTTTAAATGTAATCAAATATATAGGAAATGATAATATATGATATGTGTACAGAATTGAATCAAATAAATGTAAAACAAAAGAATCTGCAGTAGAAAAAAAAAATCCAAAACAAACTGTAGCAGGTATGGTCATTATTAAAAAGAGAAATGTTGTAATCACTAATGTCAATGATATAGAACGATGTTGAATTCGAGATTTTCGAATTGTACTTGTTTGACGAAGATGAATCAAATGATATATTACACCAATATTAAATACAATCATAAAAATAAATGGTGCACAATTGTAAAGACCTAAATTGATATAATCCCATAATGGATATATTTGATAGTGACGAGCCTGTATATTCACTGTGCCATTTTCATTATAATAACAAGCAAATAAAAAAAAATGAAAATTAATAATAGTAAAAACTATAATGATGAATATAATAATAATAAGAACATTTCTTGATTGACTAAACCATGTTTTATGACGATGACTTAATGATAAATATCGATCAAGACAAATAAAAACACGTAACCAAGCTGAAACTTGTGCTGTAAAATAATTTAAAAATGAACAAAATTTACAGAATGGTATTGAATAAGTTTGAAGCATAAATCCATATGCACCAGAAAGATAATGATCGAAATTCCATCCATATAACATAAGAATATCAAAGATAGCTATTGTTCGTATATAATGAATTGTTGGTCGTTTTTTTGTATCTCGAAAAATTGGTCGCCAAAGAATAGCAAAAGTAAAAAAATTGAATAGAGTACCAACAATAATAAGAGTCAATGGATAATAAGTAACAAATTTATATTTTTCATCGACACTTTCTGTTGATGCATTACTGCTATTGAACCAAAACATAATCAAATAAGTTTCTCTGATTTGTTGTGAGAATTTTGGTGTAGTTAATGTTGATGGAGATGTTCTTTTAAAAGAAATTTTTATTAATGAAATAGTGAAAAAAGAAAAAAAACTAAAGTGAATAAGTAGGACAATAAGTTTATAAATTATTACTACTAAAGTTCATTACTGAAATGATGAGATGCATACTTTGTAAAATTAAAAAACAGTTTTAGAAAGAATAAAAAAAGAAATTTTCTTTAGTGATAATCAACTTGTGTTATTATTAGTTTATAAATTTTTAATTGCAATCACAAGCTGTCAATACTCCGTAGTTGTTATTAAATGAGCTATTTAAAAAAAAATAAGAAATAATGATCAAAATGGAATAAATACCAATGTTTCACATCCATCTTATGGATTACAATGATAGACTCCATTGGATTTGTCTTGTATACTATGTACTTCGTGATATACTAGAAAATACTCTTCTTTTACTTGCTCATCATCTACAGTTTTTCAGCACATCATGTCATTTCAAATAATCTATATGGATAAATTCCTACTTGAGCAAAATATTTTCCGTATGCATAAATAAAAATCTATTCCAAATACTTTCTATTTAATTAAAAAGTTGCCAGTACAATCTATAGAATATTCGAATGTAAAAAAAAAACATCTTTCTATTTAGTTACTTCCTTCTCAAAGAACAGTTTTCAACAGCATCATGTGTAGTTTCTCAGTGATGATATTTTGTTGACGTGTGTCATGTAGTAAAACTATTAATCAAGATCTATAGCGAACGATGCAAACTTATTGCTCTAGAATGCTTCATTAATTAATAATTAGACTCTAGTTAATTAATTTTTTTAAATAGTGTTTAGAACAATCTTTTAAGATTTAAATTCATTGGTTTATAACTTTTTGTTTTGCAAAATAAATGTTATGATTGTATTCTTTTGTATTGGGTGATACTTCCAGGTGTCCACGGTCTTTTAAGCTAATATGCTGTCTATAAGTAGGTTTTGGTGAATTATGAAAAACCTCCAAAGGAGTTGTACCCATGGATATTTCTTGCTGAATTTTGAATTGTTCAAGTATTTCTCATGCAATGAAAGTAATGGTAAATAATTTTTGACTACTATTCGAAAACTGTAAATGTTTTTGAGAATATGCTTAAAAACTTCTGGATTATACTAAACTTTTCAACGTTTTTTCTTCAAAACCATTTTCAGTAGAACATAAAATGCTCATCTTCATGATTCCTATATACATTTGAAAGTACACTATTCAGCAGTAGAATAAATATTTGTATTTCATGAGAAAATCATAGTGAATTTTACTGAAAGATGTAAGTTGTACGTGGGTAGCGAGAAAAAAACGACATGCACAACTAAACATCATTGATAGAATCTTTTGCAACGCGTAGTAATCATCTATTGACATTAGTAATGTCATTCTGAATTGATTTATTAAACTAGAAATCATAGTAACTAGAATACGATTATTAGAAAAAATATATTGTATTTTGAAATCCTGGTGTGCATTTCTTATGGGTACTTCGTAGTGTATTGAGTTTGAAGTACAAAAGACACAATTGAGATGAAGCTAGTTTTTCAAAAAAAAGAAAGCTTTTATTGAGATTTTTATTTCGATCAATAATATAAACGACTCATATTAAAGTTTCTAAATGATGTTCATAATACATACACAAATGACAATTCACAATGATTATAGTAAAAGTTACATAAAACGAAAATCTCATACAACATTAAAAATAACGACATCAAGGTGTAAATTATTCAGAGAGATATTTCTACAATACAGTGTTCGATTTCTACATTAAAACTATTAAGATTGAAATAGTTTTTGTTTAATATACAATATACTTTAGGCTTTATTTCATCTACGTTATTGAATAATAAATGAAGCTGCGACATTTGCTTGACTACTGTTGCATGAAATGATCACAAGCTATTCTTATTGAAATTCATTAAAAGCCATCCTATTTATTGGAACTGATATCAAACGATATATATCGAGAATTCCATACAAAAAAAAACATTTAAAATTAGTAGTGATTTCTTAACAAAAAAAAATGCAATTATAATTCAAATACACGGATTAAAAATATTCTATAGAATAAAATTATATATACCATCGACATCGTGATGAAAATTCCATTCCTATAACATAAGAATATCAAATACATTCACTTCAAGAGTATAATTAAGTATTGGTTTTGGTTTTTTACGTTGCTGAATGTTGACCAGTTGATACAACATAATAAACATTAAAAAGAGTTGAATATATTGTCGAAAATGTTCACAGTTCGAAAATAATAAGCAATAATGATTTACTCAGAAAAATGTATTTATTTATTTTTTTGAAAAGTTTACTCAATACAAAAGAACTATTATACAATTTGTTGAAATTTATATTCCATACTTTTGTGAGTTTGCTGAATTATTTCTAAGTCTTCTGAGAAATATCAGCAAAACTATGATGACTCCATGAAGATCTTCTAATTATCATCATTTTTTTCCATACAATATCATATCCCAGGATAACTATAATTATGTTGTGTGTAAATTTCACTTCTGGTGAAATCTTCGATCATATATTAACCTTTTATATCAATACATTTATTGATACAAAGTAGAGAACATGAGAGTAAGATGTATTTTTTTATGACATTCAAAACTCATAAAAGCAAAAGCTGATTAAATCTAGCAATAAATGCTTGATTACGAAATTAAAACATAGTTTTATCTTGAGAGATTCCTTAAATATTTCTAAGTAATTCCAACAGCAATATGAACTGAGTGACATATCACTCACTACTTGTCGTACACACATTCATTAAATAAGTCTTTTCATGCTTCTACTTGTTATGCTTGACCAGTCGTAGACTTCGTAGCTATCGAAGATGCTTGAGTATTGCACCACTTGGCGCATGCTACTAATTGTATAATTTCGTCTCAGAATTCTTTAAATGTAACCAAATATATAGGAAATGATAATATCTGATATGTGACGAGAGTTGAATCAAATAAATGTAAAACAAAAGAATCTGCAGTAGAAGAAAAAAATCCAAAACAAACTGTAGCAGGTATGGTCATTATTAAAAAGAGAAATGTTGTGATAACTAATGTCAACGATATAGAACGATATTGAATTCGAGATTTTTTAATTGTACTTGTTTGACGAAGATGAATCAAATGATATATTACCCCACTAGTAAATACAATCATAAAAATAAATGGTGCACAATTGTAAAGACCTAAATTGATATAATCCCATAATGGATATATTTGATAGTGATGAGCCTGCACATTCATTGTGCCATCTTCATTATAATAACAAGCAAATAAAAAAAAATGAAAATTAATAATAGTAAAAACTATAATGATGAATATAATAATAATAAGAACATTTCTTGATTGACTAAACCATGTTTTATGACGATGACTTAATGATAAATATCGATCAAGACAAATAAAAACACGTAACCAAGCTGAAACTTGTGCTGTAAAATAATTTAAAAATGAACAAAACTTACAGAATGGTATTGAATAAGTTTGAAGCATAAATCCATATGCACCAGAAAGATAATGACCGAAATTCCATCTATATAACATAAGAATATCAAAGATAGCTATTGTTCGTATATAATGAATTGTTGGTCGGTTTTTTGTATCCCGAAAAATTGGTCGCTAGAGAATAGCAAAAGTAAAAAAATTGAATAGAGTATCAACAATAATAAGAGTCAATGGGATAATAGATAGCTAGCAGATCCAATTCGGTGTGATTACTTATTGATGTATTATTGCTGGTATTTAACATTATCGGATGACTTGATATCACTTTTTTCAACAAATAGAGTGAAGATTTTTGTTGATGAGGTTATTTCTGTTAAATAAAGGCTGAATGAGTGAATGGATTGACGGCAGAAAAGCACAATGCTCTCTGAAAGAATACTGCCAAAAGTTATTACTCATTGAAGTTGTGTGATATTTGAGTGCAAATCTCATTTTGGAAGATACCACTATACTATAAATTAACAGAAAACAAACATATTGCTTCTATTTAATAGATACACTCTATATCATCTCATGAAGATAAATCAAAGGACAAAAGAAGTCAATATTTCTTTTGAATACATCTTTGTATTCAAAAGACGATGTAATCAAAAGATTAATAAATAAAAATGTTACTCTCCAGAGTAAGGATGTCTATTTTTTAAATTATCATAACTCCTCATAAGCTTCGTATTCATCATCAACATTTCAAGGCTACTGAGTTCGTTTTAATGGATGCTTAGATATATTATTAACGTTTTAATTAGTTTTTCCTTGTTGGACATTGCATCTTGAAAATCGTAAAGGTCGTTTCATACAGGAGTAGCCCATTGGCATAAGCCAATAAAATATCGATGTGAATAAAACGGATAAACAGTATGAAATATATTTGCTTTAACGCAAATTCGACCGTTTATTCGAATGTATTTTGCAGATGACTATCCATTGAGAGCAATGAGGCGATATACTTTTCAGTTAAAGAACTCAAATTTTCTAAGGATTGTATTACATAAGTAGACTAAAAGAAGTCTATATATAATAACTTGAGGAAATTATGAGAATTTTGAAAAATAATCAAATAATGATTTAGGACTCTTCATATGTCACAGTTGATCTAGTAGATTTGCTGATTCCAATATTGAATAAGCCTTCGACGAATTCGAGGAATTGTATTCTTCGTAGTAATTGATTAATTTGTTTCTTATTCCCTATCAATTTTAAAAATGTTAAATACCATATATAAGTATGACGATGAGAAGAACGTTCCGAGGATCAATACTGAACTTTTCGCTAGTTGTTCAACGGTATGAGATTATTGACGGTTTTGTTCATAGTGTTTATAACGATAAAAAGTATAAATATCATCGAACAAAACAGTGAGAAAAGTTGATCGTAGCAATGAGAATAGATGGATGCGTTTCATGCTAAGATAAAATCAACCAAGTACCGTGTAGTACACCACACAGAACAGACCGTCATGTTGAAAAACAAATGAAGTTAATGTTCATTAATTATCCTCTTTTTATTCGTTTGTTAAAATATAATTCGAGACATATTATCAATATAGGTTTCTATCAATCATAAAATTCAGTTTAATCAATGCATATCGTGTCATCAGTAACATTAATCTAAAGTTCATCATACTTACTTCATAATCTATATTACTTTTATTTATTGACAAACAAAAGTATGATACATTTATTAAATAATGAACAGGTTTGAATTTATGTTCACTTGATTTGATTATTTTTGTCTACTATAGAAATTTACGATGCTATTCGTAGATAGCTAAGATAAATAACGACGAATGGCTACAAAAAAAACCAGAATATTGAGCATAAGTAAAAAGTTTGTTGATGTCACGTTTGTTTTTCATTGCTGTTGTTGTTCATTACTACACGACTAGTTAATAGAAATTCTATGGATTGATTTCTCTACATTTAAAAAAAAATAAGATTAGATTAATGAAACCTAAAAATTCAGAAGAATTCTAATATCTCAGAGTGTCAATAAAAACATACATTAGGTGTATTTGATACTTCGAATTTCAAGTAGATTGTTTTTCTTTGAATTTTTAATGCAAATCGAAGTCCAAAAAAAATATCTGTCTTAAATAAATTCTTCTTTAAGATCCATCTCACTGTCAGAAACCTATTTTTACTCTCGAATGACCAATGTGATTGAAAATCTAAAAGAATATGTACACAGCTCTTAACAGTTCAGAATAAAATTTTCAATTTAAAATATTTAGCTGTTCGTTAGTCATCATAATATATCAAATGTCAATAAGTAGTTTTCTGTGTAACAAGGACAACTCATTGAAATCTAATTTTATAGATTTCGAGTTAATTTTAATATGCAGACTCAAGACCTGCCGCCACAACTTAACAAGGTCTACTATTTCAAAATATTGTTTGTTTACTTCTGATGAAATTTCTTTTCAAAATAAAAAACTCGAAAAATCAAGGTACCTCTTATGAAAAACATTCATTTTTTGTTTTTTTTATCAAAAAATAAACTGAACATGAAAATTCTAACTCTGTTATCGACATAGGAATAGGAAAAAATCTACTTTGAGTAAAACACGAAACAAAGCTTAGTTTATGAACACAAGCTTCGTATTTTCTTAATACAACGTTATAGAAAATAAATCGTGAAAAAAATATAATAAATTCAATAAATCATAATGTTTTTGAAAGTAGACATTGACAATTATCGAACCCCATAAAAACCTCAAGACCGAATGTTTTGATGAAATCACATGTTTGTGACAATAGAAGACAACTTTTTTTATATGAGTACATTTTGGTTTTGTTTATTTGTAATTACTTAGAACGAATAATAATCTTTTTACATTTCATTCGACGAAAGAACCTTACCTTTAATAAATTATATTTCTAATGATATAAAACAAGTTCTTGTATTTTTGAACTGTATTGTAATATCTGAAGAATTAATAACCATTCTCAAAATAATTTTTAAATGCATTAAATTTATTGTCATGCATATAAAGTCTACAGTAAATAAATATTGGTATTTAGTTGCGCTCGATCTTTCATTGTATCTGTTAGGTCAACGACTAAATGAAATAATCGAAAATAAAAATCATACTATATAGACTTTAAATAATATTCTCATTATTTTTACCAATTCAGTTAGCTTCTATTTAATAAAATTACCAAATCATGCCATCAATAATCTATGCAAGTATGACTATGTTTTATTTCTTCGAACGAATGTTATTTTATTTTATGGAAGCAAATGTTTATTCGTGTATACAGTAAATATACTTCGAATCATTCTTGATTATCTTTTACTACCATATAATTATTTGACCTTGAATATAGTGTTACAGAAAATTAAGTATTTAACCAAAATATTCTCTCATAATATTTTTTTCGTCATTTTATCAGACAAGAATTTGATTAACATTTCAGATGTTGGAAGAAAAAAAAAACTATCAGCAATATTGATTTTATACATTTAACTCTTGAACGAATCCTTTATAATAAAAAAGACAAAATGTATTCAGTTTTTATGTTTCTTCTTATCAAAAACCTTGATCGTGTGTCTGTAAGACTTGATACAAATTGCAAAATGATCGCTGTTGAAAACAAACTATGCCAAATTAATGTAAATGATAGTAAATATACATTCAAATGAATCATTAGTCTTTTTAAATGGAAATAACCTTAATTACTATGACAATGCATATTCTAAAATGATTCATAGGGTTTTTTTTCTTATGGCTCGTACCTTTAGTTCATCTTTATTCTGTATTATTATCACAATAGTTTGATACATAAATAATTTAACAAAAAAAAAAAAACGAAGAAATATTCAAACATCTACATCTTTTTAGTTAATAATCATCAATTTTCTACATACACAAATGAAACCAAAAAAGAATTCTGTTCACATAAAGAATTTATATTCTTTTTATGAATGTTTTAAATTAAAATATCAAACAACAACAAAACAAAAAAAAAAAATAATTTTTAATATGGTGCAAGAATTGCTCGAATACATTCGTCTGTTTTACATCCTGAGAAAAATTCTTCCCGGTTAATGTAATTATCATGATTTGTATCAAGTCTTGAAAATATTTGATCGACTTGTTTTCGTGGATTGTTTGAACCTTTTTTATCTTTTCCTAATAAATCAAACATTGATTCAAGTACATTTGTCATTTCACTTTTTGATATACGTTTATCACCATTTATATCATACATTACAAATGCCCATTCAAGTTTTTCATCCGAAGTACCATTTAATGTTACATTAATGGCACACATGAATTGTTCAAAATCAATACTATGAGATTTGTTATCCCGATTAAATGTTCGAAAAACATGATCACAAAATCCTTTTGCTTTTCCAGCTGGATATCGATATTGATAAACTTCAACAAATTTATGTTTATCTAATAAACCCGATGGACAATCAACCAAAAATCCTTGCCACCAATCAATTATTTCTTGTCTAGTAAATTTTGTTTTACTTAATAAATTCTCCAGCATACTATCAGAAAGTTCTAAATTGTTTTCACTAATATCTTTATTATATGGTACTGATGAACTAGAAGATTTTCTTGATGATGTATCTTTGAATTTCTTTTTTCCTTTTGATCCAGTACAACCCATCGTAATAAATATTCAATGAAAAAATCTATTGTAATAACATTTGAAGATTTGATTTCATAAAAAAAAACCAAATCGATCAACATACCTTAATTGTCGTTGATTATGTTTCTTGATGGCTCACAAACATACGTTCTTTTTTATGCTTATTTTGATATCATGCATTTCAATTCATTGACAATGTCGCACATGTATAGATGGTAAAAAAAGGAAGAAAAAAAAAAAGAAACGCAATAAATATACAAGTAAATCAAGCGTTACGACAAAGATAATAATGATCCATAGCAGTAAATATTTTATATTAGCTTGATAAATACAAAACACAAAAAAAACAGAAAAGGTGATAAAAATGTTTTATCTTGATGTAATTAGATTTTTTGTTATTTATGAAATAAATGATTTCCAATTGAGAATGAAAACAAAAACAAATAAATAATAAAGCATAAACGATTAATAATATGAGCAAGAAGAATCCATTCTTGATGAATACATTTCTCATTAATAAATGTATTCAATTTTTGTTTTATTGAAGTTATATCACGACTTATTGTATTTGATGATAAAATAAGAAGATCAGATGTTGTTGTTGTTGTTGTTGAACCATTTGAAAGTGATGTTAATGGTTCCATAGCTGATTCATTAGTTGCTGAATCATTTGTATCATATTCACTGAACAAAACAAAAACAAAAAAAATTATGTCAAAATTTAAATATTAAAGTAATAAATAAATATATACTTTTCACGATTAGTTATTAATGTTGCATATGATATTCGTTTTAGACCAACTAATTTTGCTAAATAACAAAAAGATACCTAAAATTAAAATGAATATTAGTTTGTTTTTCTTTTTTAAATATTAACATGTTCATGTACATACAGAACGTAGTTTAGTTGATGGCTTTTCAATTGAATAATGATTTCCATCTGAAAGCATTCGTGTCATTACTGAAAACGCTAATACTATTGCTGTTAAACAAATATCATAAAAAATTGCATTTCCCATCCATGGCCATGATGCACCTAATCGTTTTGGAATATGAAAAGCAAAGATTATTAATAAAATAAATTGACAAATAAGTAATAATGAACCTAAAGTGAAAGAGAAATAATTATTTTTGTATTAATTTAAGAAAGAAACAAATTATTATTATTACCATAAATAATTCTTTCAAAAGCTGATGGTGGAAGAAAAAAAATTGTTAGTGTTAATAACATAAGAATTGCACCGGGCAAATTAATAAGTCGAATAAAATATTCGGAACGTCGATGAATATTTATATGTATAGATATTTGATCATAACTTCGTTCGAAACCAGCAAAAAATATATCTTTTTGTTCAATTGTATGTGATACAAAATAATAACCATTTGGCATTAAACTTGGTTCATCAATAACAAAATCAATTGCTTGTGATATTGATATTTCGTTGATATCATAAAGTGTTGAACCAAGCTATAAAAAATAAAAAGAGAAAATTTTTAATCATTTTATTCATTATTATCAATATATTTATTACCTTGATTGTACATGTTTGTTGATCAAATGGAAAATTTTTCATATCAAAATTACATGGACTTGTAAGAAGAGTTGAATATGATAATTCAAAACGACCATTAGATTGAACATCAATAAAATGATTTGCTTCATAATCGGTTGTCGTACTTCTGAATAATGTGAAACATAATATCTAGATTATTCAAAATGAATAAAAAAAGAAAAAAAAAACTTCGTACGGATTAATTAATTCTATTTTTGGTGTCCAAATTGAATGTGCAGGGACACGGAAATGTTGAACATTAGCATATAGTGTAGAATTCCAACCAAATACTGATGTATTCCAAGTCTAAAAACATGAATTGTAATAATACACAATAGATATAATTGATTAGTTGTTTTTTTTTGTCTTTACTTGATTAATATGTGCACGAATAGTTATTAATGAATCATCTTCATTCTAAGAAGAAGAAAAACATATGTTTTTCTTGACTAGAATTCTAAAGTTACATACAACAGAGACAAGTCTGATTAATGAAAATCCAAGACGAACATTAATTTTTTGCAAATCATTTTGTATTGGACGTATAGAAGGACGTGATTTTGTCAGTAATCGATCATATAATTCTAATTGACATGTATAATAATCGGTACAATCTATATTAAATATATAGATGAATAATTAACAATAATTATGAAAATATTAACATACTTTCAGAATATACAAAAGTAAAATAGATCAATAAAAGCCAACTGAAGAAGATCATATTTGTTGTCAATCAGTATGAAATCTGTAGAATATAAAGCAAGCAATTTACTCTACTCACTCGTTATAGTTTCTGGCGAAAAAAAGAAATAAGAAAGAAAAAAAGAGGCCTGCCGACTAATATTGTGAGTGCTTTTTTTTCCGTTACTTTCTCGTCATGAAGAAGAAAAAAATATTGAGAAGGAAAGGAATGTAATGTTCATATCGTAAGGTTATTTTAACCAACAATTTTCTTTTCTTTTTTTCTCAAATTTTTCTTCGTCTTACATTTGCTATATATATGAAAATAGTCATTATTGCAGAAAAAATATACGTTGTACTTCATGTTTATATTCATCATCATTCTCTAGTTGTTATTTTTCTTTTTTGTTCCTAAAATCACACATACAAACATATGAGTAAAATATTTAAATAAAAAAAAAAAACAAAAAGAAATTAAAAAACGGACGGTGCGTATAAGATTTTCACTGCAACAAAAACCCAAAAAAAAAAAAAAAAAAGAACACGAGATAATTATCATCAATATTAATATTGTTCACAATTGACCACATTCTTGAATAAGAATACGACGTGTAGGTATACCTGTTTCACTTCCATATGTTTCAATTTGTTTAATTACATCCATACCTTCAACAACTTGACCAAATATAACATTTTTACCATTTAACCATGGACATGGTATAAGAGTAATAAAAAATTGTGAAGTATTTGTATTTGATCCTTGAGACAAAAAAAAAAAAATATCTATTCAAAAAAAAAACCTAAAATAAATCAAACAATATTATATACCTTGATTAGCCATTGCTAATAATCCTGGTACAATAAATTTTCTATTGAAATTTTCATCTTCAAATTTTTTACCAAATATTGATTTTCCCTATAAAAAAAAAACAAAATTCAATTCTGTAAAGTATTGTTTTTTTTTTTTTTTTTATTTTTTGTTTATAAGATATACATACACCTGTTCCATTATAACTAGAATTAATTAAAACAAAATTATAATAAAAAAAAATATTATAAAAGATAATACATACGAAGTAAAATCACCTCCTAAAAGTAATCGAATATATATATAAATAAATAAATCATTCTATATTTTACCTTGACAAAAATATCCACGAATAACACGATGTAATATGGATGCTTTATATCCATAACCTTTTTCCATTGTACATAATGCTCGAAAATTTTCACATGTTTTTGGACATTCATTATCAAATAATTCAAATACAACACGACCAAGAGATGTACTATCAGCATAAACATCAAAAAATACTTTAGGAGAACTCATATCTAAATGAATAATTATTTATATTAAATATTTTCGAAAAAAAAAGAAATTATTATTATTATTATTATTATTGAATTAATCTAGATAATTGAAATCAAAACGATAAAAATCTGTATGAATTTTAAGAAGGATTCAAATATTTGATTTATAGAAATAAATATATATTTTATCTTTATTAATTATTATCGAAAAAATTATAATCAATTATTTCTATAATATGAAGAGTATAAATTTCCACAAAAAAAAAACAAAAGCATGAAGAAAGTCTTTGCATGATAGACTTATCTCATGAGAGAAGTTCTCCGCACTGATTAATTATTTTTTCAATCGAGGCAATGTGCATCATGTAAAATATAATGAATTATTCATACTTTGAGGGAATAGTAGCAGTTTTTAGCTTTTTCTTTTTCAGGGATATCACATTTTTCAAATCTATGTTATGATCTTCATCAGAAACGCTGATTTTTTACATAGACAGCTCGTAATTTATAACAAAAAAAGATTCAATTTCTTTCATTATACCTATCTTAAAATATGAAAGTATACATTTTACATTGCTCATATACTTTAACCGTTTCAATATAGATCTAAGCAAATCACATAATCTGAAAGTTTCACAATAGATTATTCTGATTAAAGCTTATTTCTATGCAGATGTGATTCAAAGAATCAGTATTTCTAGTGCTTCTTAAAGGGTTATATATTACAGCATAGTCTTCAAAAGAAAAATACCGTAGAAAATGTAAATGTTTTCATAACAAAAAAAATACTAAATATCTATATTCTTGCTATAATTGAAAAATAGTTGAAAATCATAGCATGAATGAAAAAGAATGACTTAAAAATATTATTTATTTTATTTTTTTCGAAAGTGATCAAATAAAAATTAGACAATGAGTAGTAAATCTATTCAAAATTTTAAGTATGTCTTTTTTTTTTATAAAAGAATAGTGAAAAATGTAAGTTTCCGGTAAAGGTAGATATTGCAGGAAATTACTTTCATCCGTTTATTATTGACATTCCAAACATAAACTATTCTATAATGTATTATATGATAAAAAGTATATATTTTCTTTTCATAAAACAAAATATGATATTATTAATAAATCTAGAAATAAAACAAAATCAGAGTCGATTAAACTTTCATATAAAAATATTTATAACAAAAAAAAAAAATTCAAACGAATATTTAGCTATGATTATAATAAACAGCAAGCAATCTGTCTTCTTTTTGTTTCTTTAAAACTAATATTGATTGCCAATTAGCAGCGAAATCAGGATTTTAACTTTGGAGGGGCTCAACTGGTCGATCTCGAAGTTGGTGGTGGGGCTTAGCTTCACCTGGCCATCCCCTGGTTACGCTACTATTGCCAATATTTATTATGAATTATCAAATAAATCATCAATTGAAATAGTTCTTCAGTACAAAAAAGAATCCTTGTATCTGTTAT